ACCGGCTGACCAAGATCCATGTAGACGGTTACTGAATGATAAAGACTTCGGCAGCTGTCACAACTTTGTCGATCCGATGCCGTATTTAATGTGCTGCCAGGATAGTTTATGCACCGGTGGTGGTTTCTGTGACAGCTTCGAAGCGTACGCAAGGAAATGTCAGCAGATAGGAGTTTGTCTGATCTGGAGGAGCAGTGAAGTATGTCCTTACAGTTGTCCATCGCATCTAGAATATCGACCGTGTGGGCCTAGTTGCAAAGAAACTTGCGATAGTATCAATGATATCAGCAACACCAAGTGCACGAAGAGCTTCGAGGAAGGCTGTTTCTGTCCGGGTGACTTAATTCTTCACAATGATACTTGCGTCCCAAAGAAGAAGTGTCTTGTATGCGATGAGGAGGGCCACATTGATGGTGACACATGGTTCCCAGATATTTGCACTAGATGCACATGCGACAAGAAAATGATGAATTGCCAGAAAACAGAGTGTCCCACTGTGGACACTATTTGTGAAGAGAATATGACACCTGTTGTCGTCAACGGAACAGAGAAAGACTGTTGCACGAAGTACATCTGTGTTCCAAACATTCTGACAACTGTGGCACCCTTATGCACAGAAGAACCACAGATGCCTGACTGTGGCTACGGTCAGACTATAAAGATGTCCACTGGCAGTGACGGATGCAAGAAGTTTATATGCGAATGTTTGCCGCCATCCGAGTGTCCTGCACTGAATGAAATTGTTCTTGAAGTTGAGAGGCTTGATCCTGGTTTCGTACAGGTGACAAATACATCTGGATGCTGTCCAAGGTCGATGACCATCTGTGATCCAAACACATGCCCTTCGGTACCAATGTGTCCAGACTACTATCAATTGAAATCTCTTGTGAGAGAGAATGCTTGTTGCCCCGAGTACAAATGCACTCCACCGGAAGATCTTTGTTTGTATAATATCGCGACAGACAGTAAAATAGAATTGTCGGAGCAGGTGGTGGCCAAGAAAATTGGAGAACAGTGGATGGACGGTAAGTGTACTTCTTGCAGCTGCGAGCTCTCCGACGAAGGTCCAAAGCCAAAGTGCACGACGATGGAATGTCTGAGGGCTGCAAAACATCCGGATAGATTTGATTTTGTCGTGGAAGAAGTTGTGCTGAAGGATAAGTGTTGTCCCAGCTTAGAGAGAACTGCCTGCAAGGATGGGGATAAAGTGTACAATGTCAGCGAGGTGTGGCAACCGAATCCTGAAGACAGCTGCACTTTGATAGAGTGTGCCAAAGATAAGAATGTAATTCATAAGCAAATGAAGGTCGAAGAGTGCAACACCGTCTGCGATTTAGGTTACAAGTACCAACCAACTGAGAACAGAAAGAGTAATTGTTGCGGAAGATGTGTTGCAGTGACCTGTGTCGTCAAGAACGAGTTGAGGAATATTGGAGAAGTATGGTACTCCACTGATTTCTGCACCAGACATTATTGCAGGTCCACCAATGAAACAGTGTACGTAGAATCAGTCACTGAAACGTGTCCAAATGTGGATCCTTCGGAGGAGATGGAGTTCGAGGTAGAGAAACAACAAATTCCAGGGCAATGTTGTCCAATGTTTGTGAAGACTGGCTGCCGTTACAATGACGTAGTGTATAAATCTGGAGATAAATGGAAATCCCTGCTGGACCCTTGTGTCACTGAATTCTGTGCGCTGAACTCCAGTGTGACCAAGTACAAAGAAGTGGAAGTGTGCTCGAAGGTGTGTGCTCTTGGATGGACGTACGAAGAGCAACGGGGTCAGTGTTGTGGGAAATGCAAGCAGACACATTGCGTGATTGGAAATATGTTGTACGAAGCTGGAGCGACTTGGTCATCCGCTGACAACTGCACATCGTACACCTGCATGGATCATGGTGATCAACTGTCTGTGAGCAGCAGTTCAGCGGTCTGTCCAGACGTAACAGACTGTCCTCTCGACTCGATTTACACTCAAGGTTGCTGCAAGATGTGCAATCTGACGTCCCACAGCCTGAAAGTAGATCCGTGCAGCCCTGTTGACTTGGACCCACGTGACACCATTGGCATGTTCAGTCTTATCCATCGAAAACATGGGCTTTGCAAGAATACGATGGCCTATGAGGGCATCATCCAGTGTCGTGGAAAGTGTGAATCCAATGCATACTTTGATACAGGTAATAATCTTAAACTTGAAACAGGTAAAACTTCTTGAAAAATTTTCTAAATTCTTGATTCTTGTTCGCAGAAAATTGGACCCCTGTCGTGAATTGTCACTGCTGTCAGCCTACGGAATATACAGGTTTGATCGTTGAACTGATGTGCGAAGACAGCAAATTATTGAAGAAGCAAATAGTTGTCCCGGTGTCTTGTTCTTGCTCATCGTGTGTTTCCGGTGGTTCCGGCTACAAAGGAAGGAAAGGTTGAATTCAGGGTTGGCTCTCTGTTAACATAAAACAACTTCAAGATATGCAAGTTTAAGGGTTTAAGCAAGACGTAACATACAGAAATATAATTCGTTGATTTTATTTAATAATGCATATATATTTTGTGTATATATATACATTTCATAACAGTTCATATATCAGCTTTCTTCAAAGATATATATACTAAAGCTTATAATTCGAATTCTGGAGCGTACTAAGTACAATAAAAATTATTCAGTCTTCGTTAACAAGACTTTGTTTCATTTTTTCCCCCATAAACACGCCATATACACGCACTATAATCGAATTTGCCTCTTACGTTTTGTACTTCAAGATTCGGATACTTCAATTCTCGTATTACAAAATGTCGTATAGAGCAATTTGATTTCTGCAACCCCCCCCAAAAGTGATTCAGTACTGTGACAAAATCTTGGAGCACAAAAGAGGATGGCCTTTCCAAAGAAGAGGAAAAGAAGCTTGAACATCGAAAGCGAACAAAAAAGAAAAATTAACTTCTCGATATGCAACGATTTAGATAAATTAAAATCACAGATCATTCAACGTATACTCGTGAATTTATCGTGTTGCCAATTCCTTGGTGCATGGATTTCTGTCTCAATGGTACACGACGAGGACACAGAAACAGGACTACTTTCATTGGACAGTGTGTGTAGTGTCTCGCAAGACTAGTTATACCGAGAATCCTGAGAGTCGTCGAATTTATTTTACAAACTGGGAACCAAATAACACGAATAAATATTAATTCTGTACCTGGATCAAGTGTAAAAAAAAGTTAAAAACATGTTGTTATGTTACATAATCGTTAACGCTTCTCAACCAATAATTTACAACTGGGCAACGTAACCGAACTTTGAAAAAAAAAAAAAAAAAAAAAAAAAAAAACGCTACAGATAGAATCTCAGTAACAAAACATTATTAATCTTCCTTACGTGTATAACTTAATTCTTAACATTTATAATCGCTTCGTTAACGAGTCACGCTCAACAAACAACGCATATTCGTTAAATGTACGCCGATGAACACTTCGGGAAACGGGATGGCAACTAATACTTCTTATCTCTCTTTCTCTCTCTTGTCACAGAGACTTCAGTTCTCCCTCTCGCTTCCTCTGACAGCGTAAATATAACGCGTATTCTACGCACTCGAAAAAATACAAACGGCTGCAAATCTACAGATAGATATAATATATAATATATGTATATCGCAATTTATTTTATGTACACAACACTTATAGCTATTACATATTACAAAATTCATCGATCTCGGCTGACACATTGCTGTAGATGCACCGTCGAAACGAGGAAATTTTCTTTCAAAGGACTCCTGAATGCTGATCTATAAAGCAACTGAAAATCGACACAATCTTCTATTTACAGTAGTTTCATTCATCTTTTTGGGGCTGTGTTCATCCAAGTAATCGTAGAATAGCTCCCCTTTCAAAGTGAACATTATTTCTTCTTCTTGAATTAAACGATACATTCATATCGATTATCTCAAGAGTCCTGTATCTCAATTTTAGTTCTTCGTTGATACGCGACTAAAGTTTCCAAAAAAAAAAAAAAAAAAAAAAGAAAGAACATCTACGTCATGATACGATAATAATAGTACATCTCTAGTCTAACGGCTGAATATAAGCAAAACAGTACAATCATTCTTTCACGAGTAAACGTGTATCGTGTAATCACGATGGCTACAACTGAACGTAACGGATATGGAAAAACTTTCATAGCTTTCTCGTTCGAGAAACAACAGAAGACAATGATCACAATGCGATGATAGGGGTTTCGAGAAGTGGTCGACAAGTGATTGAACAGTGAGGAAACACGATCTTTCTAGCGGGTAGCCTGCATCTTATACTCCTAACAATTTTTGGCCTTCGCACAGGCTGCTCCAAAAAGATCACAATGATGCGTGTCGAGTCGATAAAGAGGCGTTGAAACTTCGAATCGTTCTCAGAGATCCTGAAAGGACTTAATGGATTCCATCCGAGTGGACACAAGGCTAAGAAGAAACGAGATAAAAATTGTGGAATTTCGTTGTATTCCAGCTTCAATGCCCTCAAAATATCGAAGAAAAGTTAACCTAAAAACGACCCCCTTCGGTCGCCCCATTTGGCGGTAATACCGACTACTCAATCGATCACTCTGCACGAAGCGTGGCGCACTCTGACATCTTAATAACAAAGTCAATTAATCGAGCTTCGGTTCCTGCTTCGTGTTCCGTTGTCTCTCATTTCTCTCTCAGCAAGGTACAGACAGGCTCTGTTCCATGTATGAACGTATGCTACCTGAAAGGAGGAAGGACTACTTTTTGCTACACTTACAGAGCACATACACACAGCGTGTGCTAACAGCCCGCTGTGATACCTTTTGCTACCTTCAACCACCGTAACAAATCTCTCTGGCCAAACCACGTGGCGTCCTCTCCTTAGGCAGTCTGGACACGCCTTGGTGCACGCACACATTATCGAATTCGGACACACGCTCGAGATTTAACAGGACTCGTTTGGGTATACGAGCCGTCGACCCTTTATTCAGGGCCCGTTAGCAAGTCTTAGGCGAGCTCTCGTTTCGCCTTCGCCTCGGCGTAGAACTGGGATCCACTTGAGCTGCTGATGCTGTGAGAACGTTGATGGAGGTGCCTGCTCAGAAAGTACACCACCGCCTCGTACGTTGCCATAATGATCGCTGTGTTCGGTATCTGTCTGATCATATGTGTGCCCAGACCATGATACAATCCAAATATCCTTTCCTCGGTGGCCACGGTTCTCAGGGTCTGCCAGAATGTCCGATACTTTGTCCCCTCTTCCCTCAGGCGTGTCCTAGCCACCTCTGAAATTACGGAACACACCATTATTCGTTGGTCCTTCAACGTAGGTTTTATTTTCTTCTTTCTATAGGATTCTTTTATGAAGAGTTTCAGCAGGTTCAACCCTAACTAAGTAACTGATTTCATTTTGAATGATATCAAGTCCAGAAAGCAGGCTTCCAGAGAAAATCAGAATGTGTTTGATCGATCAAAGCGCGACGCCCCGACGTAACATGCGATTGTACACGTTGACTGGCTGGCACACGCGAGGCATATAGAGCTCAGAGGTTATTTTTAGACTTGGGAATCTTGAGAAGGTGTGTTTGTGGTTGTTCTGATCATCGATCATTCTTTGCACAACTTGGACAGCAGTCCTCTACTGGAGACTTGGTCCTTCGAGCTAAAGAATGTTCAGAACTACTTCTCTTAAGATATAGAAAAGGCCAAAACTTTGTGAGTCCTTTGAGCAATAGACAATCCCACAAGGAACTAATGTTCACAAGGGACCAGGATGTTTGTGGAGGGAAAAAATGTTTTCAGAAACATGTGGCCCCTGCTCTTGAACCGGAGCCAATTCTTGAGTCACTGGTGATATCTTGAAAATAGAATCTATCTCCAACGGAAGTCGGAAATCCATAGGAAGATACAACACATTGGTACACATACGTTTGTTCTAATTTATCGGTAAAGAAGAAAGCTTGTCATCTGGAGGTGTACAGATATATGACCTTACCATGGGGGTAGGCGAAGATGGACGCAACCGTTTTGGAGAAAGATGCTGCTATCATGAATTCTATAAAATCGCGAATCGTTTTGATGTCGTCTTGCCTGGAGACTCTGGACCTGTGCTTCGTTAGCCAAGCCTTCACAGCCTCGTAGATCACAAAATGTATCACAGTCTCGCTTATCCCTACGTAGGAAGCCATAATGCCTTTGTAGAATCCTAGGATACCCTGGAAAGACATTCGACGACAATTAACCTCTTAATTCAATCCACTGTACCGTATAGATCTATTTTTCTACTCTCGCTAAAAGGATCTGAGAATGTGCTCGACTTAGTGGGGGGATATTCGGTAAGCTAAACTACAATTTTTGCCTCCACAAAAAAGAAATTATCTCGAGCACACAAGATAAATGTATCCAGATCGCTGTGGTCGATAAGGTAGGTACTCTATATGGTTGATATTTTTTTTACCGGTAAACTCAATAAGCCTGTACGATTTTAGGACTATGGACCAGTTATCGGAGAACTGGTCTTTCCCCAATGACGCTCATTCGCAGCGAATAACCACCTTCGTGTTTACGTATCGGCTTTTTCTTATCGCCGGGTTCCTGATTCGCGAAAGCACGCGATGATAATGGAACTTTCCGAGGGTGAATATATATTTACAATACAACAATATTACCCGTTCTATAATTACAATATTATCGAACAATAATCGCTGCATAGAACGCATGGCGCCATTTAATTGGGTACCGTGAACAAGAAATATAAAGATAAAATGGTAATCGTGCCTGAGTTTGCGGTACAGATTATTATAAAGAACACGAGATAATGAATGAAAATATCGCCCGTTATCAGGATAGAATCACACATGGATCACGTGATCGCCGATGGAACTAAGAGCGCGAAAATTCTATTTGCCCAGCGACACAGAGTAACGTTGCAAGATATTGACTTGTCTAGAACAGTTCCTTTTGTTTACTCCTAGACACCAACTATATTGAACGAGCTCCAAAGCATCGAAGAGTTATAATCAGTGGTAAACACTGAAAGGCTGTTTACATGAGTAATATTTCAAATATCGATACTTTTCAATTCAAATATCGATATTTCGAATATCAATACTGTTCAATTCAAATAACGATATTTTATATCGATATTTAATGTGACGATATATTCCAGTATCGATACTTGAACCATAAAACATCGAAATATCGATACAATCGCTGCATTTGCCGTAACGTAATAGGCCGTAAGTCAAATGAACCAATCGAGAGCTTCATATAAATTCTGCGATTGGTCGATTTCTTTTCCACACTGTTGTCTAGTAAATATCTGCTTAAATTGCATTATTTTTTATCAGTTTGGGATTCTATTACTTCTAATTTAATTGTAAGTATCGATACCGATAATATCGATATTTTATTCCCGATATACATATGTATCGATACCAAATATCGATACAAATTCAAATGTATCATCGCCATCTCTAGCGCCGGGAACGGAAGCGAGAAATAACTAGAACAGAATCTGTAAATCAATTACGACATGGGTCGATATGTTGTTTTCGTGGCACGATATTTTGGTCGCGTTTTGCTATTCGTAGATCGCGTTCCCTGCCTTTAGACTCTGGCACAATTGCAATTGCGATGTAAGATGCGCCGTGTCTGAACTGGTTCTGACACAATTGCAGGAAATCACAATTGGAACTATAACCAGACACTCGAACGGTCATATTTCAAAGTGAATCTTTTGGTGTGTAGAAGTATTCAAGAACTGTGTCGATTCTTTACTCCAATATAAAAGGTTTCTTGGTATTACAGTGTTGCCTAATTGGTATCGAAATATCCCTATATTCGTGTATTTTCGCACTCGGATTTCTAAATGCACAACCGCTGGCAAAAATATCCTTGGCTGGGACCAGAATTTCTTCCCTGTGGCATCCTAGACTATTGCGACACTACTTCTGTTGACTTTCGGCGCGAGAGCTACCCACCATTCTGCTCGTTCTTTCACGCGAGGATATTTTTGCCAATCATGACACAAACATACTTCTATACAATACTCCCCTTGTTGTCGTACAAGATCCGAATTTTACCACCAAAAAGACACTTTCTTTATCTTCAATTTTTACAGTACAACACCCTCAATGGAATCATGTACAGATAACGGGGCTTCGAAGTAATACCCAAGATAAAAGAAACATACTTCAAGTGATAAAATAAGTGGGACACAACTGTTGGTATTTACTTCGGTCTGCTGGGGATGGTACGACGAAGGAGAACCTCAACTATTCTCTGTTCTCCGTTTATATCTCCATAGGTTCTCAGTGCCTTCGATAAAAGCCTGTTCTCCGTTATTCCGCTTCTGGTATCGATCAGCAAAGAATGGAATGTATCTCGTAAACAGGGTAACTAACCAGGAAACTTCGACACCAAGAAAATTTCGACTTTCCTTGAAACTCCGTAGGTTTGTGGGGGGCATCAATAAAAGCCCCCCCTAAATGTTGATATGTCCTTTCCTATTTCTCTTTATATCTCGAAAACTATAGTAGCTATAAAAGAAACTATTGTAATGAAAATTTACCGAGTCTTCATGCCCTATAAAAGTCTGTATTCAAATTGTTGAAACTTTGTTTTTTTAAATAAACAAATAAGTAAATAAACAAATTCTTAACAATGTTATTAGACACGCTAGCAGAGCATAAGAATCCATTAAACTTTCATTCCAACAGTTTTTAAATATCTTCTATAGTTCTCGAGATAAACAGGAAAATACGAAAGTACATATCAACATTTGAGTGCTGGTTGCATCCAAAAGAGCCGAATATCAGCAAAAACGAAATATCCCCGATGATTCTATAGAGGCCCCCTACACACCTACGGAGTTTAAAAAAAAAATAGTATGGAAGTTCCTTTGTAATCGTGTGTGATCGATAGTACATGGCTCCGGGGATTTTGAACCGCACAGACTGTGTGTGCACCAGACAGGAAGCAGCACGTCGCTACACACGGGGTCTGTGTGTCGAGACAGGGCGGTCAAACACTCTCTGGCGAACACGCTTCTCCATTCAGGGGATAAACACGCCACGACGGTACCGATATCTCCTGACCTATCCCTCTTCCGACACGAAGCAAACACCCGCGGTGGGATACACGAATCGATCAAGTGACACACACGATGGGGAAACGATAGTCCAGCACGACTACTCTACAATGGAGGAGGAAAACGTGTGTGTTCGTACCGATTGGCCATATATCCTCTGCACGCATTCCATCGCGGTGATTCTGTTCGTTCGATGGTCCAGCTGTAGCCTGGTCTTCACGAACCAAATGGGATTTGTCAACGTGCATGCCACGAAACCTGAAAAATGAACGGACACGTGTCTTTTAATCCAATCGGTACCGTGGCGAGGGCACGCCTGCTCTGGGGGACACGCGCTGCCTCGAGTCCGTTCGCTGTTCTTAACACTAGATCTACCTCGACAATAAGCGTACACCTATTTCTATCGGATCTATAGACATGACAATCTTTTCAAAATATTTCAATGGAAATCGCATTGTTGTAACATTTGTCATCGTTACAAGAAGGTACGAACATCAGTCATTTCGACTGCTTTGGTAGTTCTAGTGTTTTAAGGGTCATACTTCGATTCTTCCTTCAGATTCATTTCATTTTCTATCAATTTAATGAGACCAGAAGTCATTTCATAAGCAGTTCGATCCACAGAGACGGGTCATCTTCTTGCAAAGTGGCTCTTCCCCAATGTTGGATTTAAATAAATATATTCATCACTATAATTGTTTAACTATACAAAGAAGCTTTTTCACTATTCATACTAGCTTTGCCAAGTGGTTTCAGTGTCTATTGATCCCCTGAGAGTCTTTTAACCCAAATCATTTCACGAGCAATTCGATCCACAGTGAACAGGACGTTTAGGCTGATCGTAGACTTCTGCGACAAACTACATTTCTTAGATTTTATAAAATTTCCCCGAACAATTGGATGTTTTGTGAATAATTCACCAGGAAGTTCGAGAAATTTGTTCTAAAAAAGGGTTCATCCCTTCTCCTACAGACTTATAGAAAGTCCCGTATAAGGTACCTACCTATAGGTTACGTTCGATTTCAAGGTAACCAGCACGCTTTCGATTGCGAAATCCCCCAGAATGGTCTCGAAACGAATCCAAGAGCCGTGCGTCTGGCTGCCAGAAATTCGTCGATCGATCCACCCCGATATACCGACCAAACATGCCAACTTCTAAATTTACCCCACGGGACATACCTATATCGCTTGGAACAGAGAACTGACAACGGTCTGAACGGAGCCTCCGATGATTCTCGAGAGATCGACCAAACACAAATGGAACAGAAAGAGGATCGTGATCAGGATGCCAAGAATCAGAATAGGAGATTCATTGCCGAACGTGACCTTGTACGAGGATGAGCCAGACAACAGAATCGACATTTTGAATTTTGTCGCGAATAAAAGAGCAATCATCTTCGGGATACCTGGAGCCTTCGTACCCGGTTGTTCCAGGGTCCATCTGAGAGGATTCATCGAAAAGTATATACAGGGTGGTCCAATAAAAATTAGGGCTTCAATATCTTCGTTGTTTTTGGAGATATACAAAAATTTTATTGACAAAAATTTGTCAGTATAGAGGGGGCTATAACATGACAGTGAAAATTTGTTTGCAAATGGAAGAGTTTCGGAGATTTCAAGGTCACCTTTACTTTTCTAAATAAAATCGTGTTTTTTATGCGTTAATTGATGCAACTCGACATTCCATATAGAAAAGTATTCATGTATGTATATCGAAAAATTATTAGTTTTAAGGATAGGTCCAAACACAACAGAGATATTTAAGTGCTAATTCTAATTGTACCACTCTGAATACATACGTTATATCCGCTGTGTTAACCCTTTAACGGTGGAATTTTTCTTTGAATATGTGTAACCATTTTTGATTCCTTTATTCTACTACAAGAAATATATTTTTCAATTTTTTATAGCAAAGGGTATTTCATTTCTTTCACATGATATTTCATATAACTTACTCATGACAAGTATACTCGTCAAACACTGTTAAAGGATTAAGCGACGTACCCTGTACAATATTTATATTCTGATTGGCTGTTCAGGTCAGACGACCTGCGGTACCTGGGCTTTCAGGAAATCATCTGCGTGTCCGTGAACGACCCGTACGTCATGTCCGCCTGGGGCAGCGCAAAGGCCGCTGAGGACAAGGTAATACCCGTGGGCAGTCTCATAAAAAATTGTGGAAGTACTCTGAACAATAAGAATATACAGTAAATCGTCGATGAGTGTTCGAAGGATCTTCGACACAGATCCCCACCACTTGATTCGTTCCACAGAGGACCCTCGCGTGGCAGGGACGACGCCTGACCATTCAGTGTCCCGAGGAGCCTTGAAGCACTCATCGATAATTTACTGCACACGGTGAGTCACTTAAATTTACTCGTAAACTACTTGTACAAAAAAATGTTTCAAACGAAAGATGTTTGATATCGAGCGGGCCATACAATGTGATAATTAGTTTTTCGATGTTTCGTTTTTTTATCGAGATACGAAGGTGACCTTGAGTTTTTGTATCACAATGTGTTATGTTTGACCCTGCGATTCGAAAGTATATCGAATGCTGACTAAAAAACTACTAAGGTATACGGGGTCAAAAACTAATAATTACCGAGATATGTACTACTACGAAAATAATAAGTCAATTTAGGTGGTAGAGTTAAGTGACTCACCCTGTATCAGGTTGTAAACGAAGTCTCTGATCAATGGACGATGCAAGTTACACAACCAAGATACCCTAAAAAGATCGCAACTTAATCGATTTAAGTCAGCCTGAGAGCCTTTTTCTGCACAGTAGCAACGAATGATATTTATGGGGATTACTGAACAGACCAGTGGCTGCATAACTTTGGCTAGTTGCAATAGAAAGGAGATCGAACCTGAATTTTACTATTTACCTCGAATGAACACCAACGACCGGTTCCCTATTCGAGGAGAAGGTTGATTCCTTTCTAATCTTACAAAATCGAAGCTTTTCTGACATCGAAACTTAGGTGAGAATGCTAGCTGACCCATTGGCTACTTACACGAGAGCAATTGGGATGGACATCGAGATTCCAGAACTGGGAGGAATCAGGAGTCGACGGTATTCGATGGCGACGGTGAACGGGATCGTCAGGGAGCTGTTCGTCGACTCGCCAAATGTGAAACTCATGTGTCTGCAGCAGGATGGTGTACCGACATATTGCACCTAACTATCTGGGAATAAAGAGATCACCTAACAAAATGACTGCTTGAATGACTGAAGAGCTCTAGTATCAATCTAGGTGTATGAACGATGTTTTCTTCTAGATACTCGAGATTACAGACGACAAATGGCTAGATATACCTCGGAGTGTTTACCCCTGATGGGCCAGAGTTTGCAAACAGGTATTCCCGCCGTCCTATTGACCCAGTTCGTGGGAAGCCACGCGGCCAACGCACTACTACTATGTTCATCGCGACGCATCCGGATTACGCAAGTGTTTTGCATTACGTTCCTCGGATGGCTAAACACGTCCAACGACGCGACACAACTACGCCCCTGGTGTCTCCAATAGATACCTAGACCTCGATATTCGGTTCATCGGGACGATACCAGCTCTAAAATGTTGATATGTCCTTTCTTATTTTTCTGTATATCTCGAAAATTATAATAGATATTAAAAAAACTGCCAGAATGAAAATTGAACAAGGCTTCATACCCTATAAAAGTGTGTAATGAAATTGTTAAAAGTTTGTTTTTCAAATAAACAAATAAATAAATAAACAAATTTTTAACAATTTAATTGCACAGTCTTGCAAAGCACAGGAATCTATTAAACTTTCATTTTAACAGTTTTTTAATATCTTCTATAGCTTTCAAGATATACCGAAAAATAGGAAGACACATTAACATTTAAGGGGTGGTTTCACCCCGAAGAACCGAATATCAGCGACGACGAAGAATTGTTCGATGCTTCTGTCGAGGTCCCCCACAAGGTCTTCGACGTACCGACGTTCCCTAGTTAGAACTCCACTAGTGGGGTAGGTCAAAGAGGACACGGTCAATATTTTCTTACGTGCGCGGGTTCAGTTCGGACGATCTTCCAACACTGTCACGTACCCGTTAACTCGCGTCTCGTTGGCAGACGGAAGGAATGTCGAATTGACGATGATCATTCGACCGATTCGCTAGCGCAAGTACTCAGCGAATTCTATTTAATTGCATCCAGTTTCATTGACACTGTCCCTCACTGTCAGTAAACACCGTTCGGTAATTTGATATACACGATATACTGTTGACAAGTTCTTACTATTTCTATTTAGAACCCGAAATTTCCACATGGCACGGACGTATCTGTTTTGTTTACGCGCCACGGTTTATGTATATACAGACCTTGTTTATGTTCCGACTGAACGTGACAAAACACGCGACCAATGACAATAACAAAAGAAAAAAAATTGGTAAGGGCAAACGACAGCATACTGCGCAGTAAGAATTTCTATGTTCTGCGCATTTTGAAGATCGAGGCCACACACGATTCGATAAGATAATTTTACAACAAGTTACGGAAGAAGGGACAGCGTTTATATTGCCGCCGCCGCCGCCACAAAGAGGCCTGTGGAGTAATATCTCGTGTTTTGACTCGGTTACATCGTCACATGCAACGAAAATAGACGAACGCATGTTTACGAGGGAATCACCGTTTGCCGCGATCCGACCGCCGAACTGATACGACTCGGTCGACGGACCGACACGCCCCGGCCACGGGAAGGCTCCAATTGGCGGCCGTAACGAGCGTATATTGCCGCATCGTACGGGCCCGTTTACGGTCTATTTTCGTGTCGATGATTGCGATTCCCATTGGCCTTGGTCGTCCTATGAAATTGCGTGTTCGTTGAACCTCGAATTTAAAAATGCTTGGGACTTAACGCGATTACAGTTGACCTGAGAAGTTATATTTTTAAAAGAAATATACAAAGGCATCTAAACAGATAGCACATGACGCCTTTAAAACGTCCATTTTACGGCTGTTTTAGGTCTAAGGCGCCTTTAAGCAGTCTTCAATGCGTCACTAGGCGCCATAGATCTAACCAAGTGGACACAGGACTTCCATGCGACATCTGGAGTCTTGTTTCACCTTAACATTGATTGTCCTATGAATTTATGGGAGTATTGGGGTCATAGGACTGAAATTGAAAAAAAATCCTGGACTTTTGTCTATCCTAACCTATATCTTTCCAACAGCAAGTGGGACCTCCATGCAAGAGAAGACCCTGTTAGTCCTATTTCCCTTTGACTAATATTGTGGGAATTTTGGTTCACCGGACAGAAATGCAAAATGCTCGACTTCCATCCAACCTAACCTATATCTATCCAACAGCATCTGGGACATTTAAGATCCCTCGAGGTTTTTCGTTTCACAGTAAAAAAGAAGCTATATACGAAAGACGGATCCCGTGGCAACCGAAATCTGATAGTGTTTACCACGTGCAGCGCACGTTCCTTGATTATTGCCGGATGCAACATTGGTGTCGAGCGCATTTGCGATTCAAATGCCCTCGTACGATCCTCGATTTGCAATTCAATGTTTGACTCCATCGTATATTGCTCCACGCCCGACGAGTACAAATTGCAATTTGTTCTTTTTTTGTTTTATTTTTATCACCTAGAGGCAGGATCATCGATAGGTCGTGTGCAATAAACATTTCGAACGACAAATCTAGCGCGTAGATAGGGAGGGGCAGATCGACTACCTTGCGTTTCCTGGAGAAACGCGTAAACATTATTATCGTTCCATTGAGAAAAACCGCGCAGGAGTCATAAGCAACATGTTCTTGCCTCGATCCGCTAGTAAATAACCGCGGGACCAACCGTTCAATTACACGGTCGTTTGGTTTAAAAATAGAACCAGTGGCACTGCCGCCAGTGTCTCTCAAGTTACGTCTCTTTCTGACCGATTTCGAAAACGAGGAGGTATACACAATTCGATGTGCATGTATCAGAAATGGACAAATTCATTATCTAGATGAAAAGATCATTTTTATCTAGAGGAAATTTTCGAATAACGAATAAAAGATAAAGAAAGGCAATTTACCATTTTCAATTGATGAAACGTGAAACTTTCAATATTTATAATAAAATAAAATTTGGAGGTTAGGATGACGATCGTAGATATTGTTGCTTTTCACTATACAGGGCGTTCCGGTTAAAATAGTGTATCTGTGATCACGCGAGAAATATTTTTGATGTAATTTAAATCAGACTGTGGAGAAAATTATATAAGTGAATTTGACATTTTTAGAGTAAACTTTGTAAAAGTAAATTTAGTTTTTTTTTCTTCTAAAATGAAATCCATGGTTTCGTGAGGCTTGCGAAATCAGTGCAATCTTAATTTACAACAATCAGTTCAATTGATTTACTGAATTGAAAATAACGTTCAGTTGCTTTTGTTGAAGTGAATGTAGTCGTGTGGTCGAATTAATAATCATCTATCGGACGAGTCGTCAGTGCTTAAAGGGTTAATCCGCGTTGAAGGCGCCAGGTAATTAGAAAAACGTGCGACGACACGTGATCGCCGAGACGCAGTAAGGCAACGTTCGCTGACGATAACAAGTTTTCCGCTATCTGCGTGATTGGAGGAATGTCACGCGAGCCTGGGAAGCACTGTTTTCGGTTGGTCGAGCCCGAGGAATCTGATGACTTACAAGGGAAACTCGATCATTTTCGGTGACCTCGGATTTTTTTTAAACTCCGTAGGTTTGTAGGGGACCTTGACAGAAGCATCGTGCAATTTGTCGTTTTCGCTGATATTTGGTTCTTCGGAGTGAAACCAGCCCTTGAAGATTAATACATCTTTTCCAATTTTCCTCTCTATCTTAAAAACTATAGTCGAAGCGAAAAAACTGTTACAATGAAACTTTAATGGATTATTATGCTCTACAAAAATCTGTAATGAAATCGTTAAACATTTGTTTATTTAAAAAATAAACTGTTTACCATTTCAGTACACACTTTTATACAGCGTAAAAGCCATTAAATTTGTATTCCAACAGTTTTTTGACATCTACTGTAGTTTGCAAGATATACAGAAAAATAGGAAAGGTCCTCTACAAACCTGTATAGTTTAAAAAAAAATCGAAATCTTCAGGGTAGCATCGAAGGTCCTAGTTGTTAGAGATTTAAAAAAAAGTGTCGCTTGATCGTGACTATTGAAGACGATTTCCGTGTCGACGTACACAGGACACGGTACAAACGAGCCGCAATTGCTCGAGCGTGTTCCAAGGTCGGCCATGATTGGATGCAATTGCACGCTGTGATAAGAAGTAAAAACAACAAGCCAGTCATCTGTTTCGTCCGTTACGCATCGAGACCACGTTGCGGTTATTGAGTAACAGGATAGCCCCTGTGTGGTGACAGAACATTATTGGATTCGCTTTCATTGACGAGATACACCGCGCGAAAATGAAAGTTTCCAGATCTGATCAGTATAGACAGAGAATAGATCTGATTCTGGAAATCTTTAAATTTTTATTTTGGGTAATTTAAATGGTAGGGAATTAAGCTCTTGAAAATTTGGGTATGGATGAATTAGGGATGAGGTTACAGAATGAGATGTCCAATGGAAAATTCGGTGCTGGGTGGCTACGTGACTACCGGCACGTTTTCGTCACGGGTGGAAGGGGAGGTGAACGTTCGAAGTGGGCCACGGAAAAAGAAGCCAATGAAACCTGTCCATGCAACCCTTTCATTCTGCGTGGACTAAACACTAAATCCAGTATCAGAAAGACCTAAATACTCTTGGGGTAGATCTTTCTGTTGACTGAGAAAATTAGTTAACAAACATATATCATCAGCATTTCTATCGCGCCACGAAGCACCCCCGCGGAGAGATGTCTACCGGGGTTGAAAGTTCAGTTTTCCTCAGATAAGATATCGGTCCATGAAGACCACGCGGAACAGCGCTACCAGCGTAGACCAAATACTAATGTAATTATTATAACAGACTAGAAACAACATTCAACCATGGCAACGCCTAATTGGATATCTTCTTTATCGTCCAGATTACATATCAGACCCCCCATATCTCCACAAAGATAATCGACAATCAATTGACATCTAATTAAATCGACTATTAAGATGATCCAGGACCTCCGGACAGCTCAGAGGCCGCCCCGGAAGAGCAGTAATCACTCTGAAGTCTCAATAACAATCTAAATGCGCAGATGATATTAATAACCACCGATTAGAAAATCCAGTAAATCGCAATGCAACGGGTTATCGATGCGTCAGAGCCGTTTTATCTGCAACTAGGCGCAATCCCATTCAGCCAGATAAGGCGTAATTACGCTTGCAAGAGGTGACCCCACTGAGTCTGTCTATCTAAAGCTATGATTATTCGATAAAGAAAAGAACCCACTCCGATAACACGCCTCCTACATTGTGTTGCGAACGGGCAATGCCTTCGGTCAGATACGATCTGATCTATTTCTGGACTATTTTCTAGCCTCTTCTGTCCTCTCGACTTCAGCCTTCTCTCTTCTACCTTGACTTTCTAGGATGTGTTACACACCATCAGGTTTCTTTACGACGGGGTGGGGTAATAGAGAATATATCGATCAGAAAACGGAAAGTATCTTGGATGGACACTTACCAGCGCAGAATGCGGAGAGAACGTGTACGATTGGGGTGTCTGCGGGTAAGATCTCGTTGAAGGCGACCTTGCTCTTCGAGTACGCGCAGAAGTAGATCGCCCTTGACGGAGCTACACCGACGAGGTTCGGGCCCAGGCCCTTGAACAACGCCCGGGTACCCTCGTTCTGGACGATGTAACGTATGCACTGATAGATCCCTGGGGCCGAACGCGGATGGGGCGTGCTACCAGGCTGTCTCGGCACCCCGAAGTGCGACAGGGCGACCAGAGCGTGCCTGCAACAAAAGGAAACACGAGGATCGAGGATTAATCAAAAGTGTCTCTGATCGTTGCCTTATCTGTAGACTGCGGATCTTTAGGCAAAATGGATATATTTTGTAATATATGCAGGCAGGTGTAAAATAAAAAATGCGTCCTGTTTTTAACGATTTTAGCAGGCTGAAAATAAAATTAAAACGTTATGAAACTCGATGGAAGCTTTCTTGTTTATCCTTCAATCTAATTCAGTTTCGAACGTGTATCCTCTTCTACTGAATTTCTGTTTGTATGTTCAACAAGAAAAAAAAAAAATAAGATGATTTTCTTTCGATCTGTTGGAACATCCAGAAATTTGGAATGTCACGGCGGGGACTGTTGGTGGATACGGCCCGGGTGCTTTGCTAATGAGAAAGGTGGTTTTCGATTTACTAGCACAATGTGATACTGCGTCGTCAACAGGGGGAGTTATTTCGAGCGAAGGAATCCTACGAATGCAGGAATTAGTCGTGCAGAAACGGCCAACCGTCTCTGGGATACGTCCACATGGGCTCAGGCATCGAGTAGCTTGAAGCGTTTAATATTACACGGAAATATGTTGATAAAGTGGAATTATTTAGCATGTACTACGGATCCATCTCGAGCTCTGAAGCTGACCTATATATATACGTTTTAAATGGCCACAACTAGTGAATGGGAAATGCTGAGCAAGAAAGCGTGCAAGGATTTTAGTTATCTATTGCAAAACATGCATTCCAGCAAAGATAAATACAGGAATGAGGAAGTGGGGTTTGTAATTCGAGCCACTGGAGAAACGATAAGGGTGGATTGTTTTTGAGAACTGATATGTTACAGGTACAGATTCATTGACCTTTCCTGTCGACACAACTCCAAAACAAGCTCCCTACACTGCGTAGCCGTGTGATCCAATAAAATCAAAATGCTATTTCAACAAATTACCCTTGAAACCCAACGCATTCATGTCTTCCGTATGTTGTACAGAAAGGGTTAAAAGCGCAGCACAAAAGAGGAGGGATCAGGGATCGTCTTCCTTCTCCCAAGGGCCTAGTTTTATCAAAATACACTTACTTCAATTTCCTGAAAGAATCACCGATATTAGTATACATACATTTTAAACAGTGCCCAAAATAATTAAAGCCTCACAGCGTGCTTTATAGAGAACACATAGCTTTGCGGAGAAATTTCAGAAGGGATCCTTAATTCTTTTGAGCAATCTATTAAATTAATACCGTACGCATCCCAATTACCTGGTGTAGCCTCCATTGCACAATCCTTTCCTTTCGGGTTTATGGAAGCTCTTGCATGTCACATGGCCAGATGTCAGTTCCTTGTTCACCGGTGGCGGATAAAAACCTGAAGAGGATTGCAGTCTGGTTTTCACCACTTCTAACGGGCAAGTGATTATTGCACCTACTGTACCGGCCATACTGTAAAACAAAAACAAAAACAAAAATAGAGGAAACAATATCAGTGATCTATCAGATGCACACATTCCAGAGCAACTTCCACCGACACACGCGTTTATTTAACAACAATCAACGGAATCCGTGTTTAAGGAGGAGACGATAACAACAGACAATTGTTTACACTGTTTGCAAAATAAGATTCACCGCGATAAAACGCAAAATAAGTTAACTCCCGGTTCAAAAACTTCTGAATCATTTGCACCGTAAACGGCGATGTTTGCAATAACATTTAACGACGTGTTGCCAACGCGGCCCTGAATTAATAAATACGCTTACTACGCGCAAAAACCTGCGTAATACGTTCCCACTCATATATTCTGTCCACTTATTAATATTGACTTGACAATTTACGACAGAGAAGAAAAAATTCAAATTCCCGCCGAAAATATATTCTGTCCACTTATTAATATTGACTTAACAATTCACGACAGAGAAGAACTGGTTTAAATTCCCGTCGAAAATATATTGCGTCCACATGAAATATTGATTTGACAATTCACGACAACGACCAGCCGAGAAGAACCGGTTTGAATTCCCGCCGAATATTTTCGTGCAAAATAACCGTCTCAGGGAACGGCCGTAGTCAGTGAAGTCTGTAAAAAGCGTTATATATCGCCCGCGTTTTGGCACATACACACATGACGAACATGGAAAGAAACAAAGAAAGAATCGTGAGCCACAAAGAAACCACTCGAGGATGTCGTGCGATGAAAATACGCCGGTTTCTAAGTTGGGACGTTAAATTACGCACGTGGTCGCATTGGGCAGACGAAGCACTCGAAAAAAAAACATTTCGTTGAACCGTATGTGCGTGAAAACTTAATGACAAAATATAACCTTTGTGTGCATATTTACGAGGCGGTCAGATTTGGTAACCACGCACACATACACGTCGTGACAATCGTGATGGGCACAAAGGGGCATTGTGAAAGATCGGTACATATTATAGATCTTTGGTTCAGACACGTAATTAGCACCAACGGTCCAATGATGCAACAAGAATTTGCTCCGCGAATAACGTTACATCCCTAACGGATTTTAATTGAAGTTTAACGTTAATGGATGGTTTTAATATTTCTGCTTGAAGTATTTAGACGTACATAGTAGTACATAGACGTACTGATGGAGTCTTGACATGTAAAATAAAACGGATCAAATTGTGTAATTTTACACGCACATAAGACCGGTAGTGATGACACAAAATCGAACTAGAGACACACACAATCGCCAAGTGCAGAATTCCTCCTTAAGCCCCATCCCCAATGCAACGCACTCTACTGCTCTTGTTTTTCTTTTATGTAACAATTTAAGGCCTGTGATCTGTTATCGAGATCCTACATAATGTTCCGTCTCGTTAAATGAACCACGATGTTAATCACACAGAACGTACACAACCGTGTGTAAACATTGTTTTTTTCGTGTATAATACACCAATGTAAAGGGGGCCGGTAAAGATGACGTAAGATCGAGCCGGTGACAACGTCGCAGAATCCCTAAATGCGGAATACTTTAAACTTCATGCTCACTGTACTCCATTACTGTATCCATTACTCCTCTTTTATTTACCAAATATTGTTACGACAGAAAACTTTATCCTAAGGCCTTCTGACTCTCGTGTTCGTTCGGTAAAAAAAAAACTCAGTATACTAACGAAAAAAGAGGCACCGTCCAGAAAATGCACTCAAACACTCGGGAAACATCGCACAGTGCGGATTTCCGAGTTACATAATGTCTGTTCGAACCAGCGTAGAATCAGCCCCCAATAGACTCGTTGCGATCGAGGACAAAAATTCACGCCGTCAACGCGCATCACGAATCTGGCTCATGTTACACGCGTGCTGCGCACAAAATATTCCTATCTCCGGTTTCAAGCGGCCGGCGTCATGTGTCCGATCGTCGACACCGTTTCCGTGGATTTCGGTCTGTTTTTTGAGGTACGAACAACAACAGCGTGGAGGGAAATAATGGTAGAAAAAGAAACCCACCCTCCGGCGATGAGGTGTATAGCAGTGTCGTGATCCCACATTCTTCCGACTTTTCCTGTCACTATGGGAGCATATACTTCACGGGCGTAGAAACCAGAGGAAATACACTGAACAGTTTACCACGCGCGAAGAACTGCACTGAGCGAAACTGCGCCCGAACGCAGTGGGGGTTCGTTCGTTCCAACGTTTATTCGATTCTTACTACGACGATTATAACACGAGACAACCGACGGGACGAAATGAACACCATACGACACGTTCGAGAGCTCCGAAACAACTGATCGCATCGACCGCACGGCGCACCGAGCTTTACGGCGCACTGTACTGTACAGTCCATGAACTATAGCAACCCTCGAAGATGTGTACTAGTCCTTTCAATGTAAACAGGTTTATCTCTCTCTGTGTGTATAGATGACGAGCCTGATGTTACGACTAATTGCGACTAATAGTCGAAACGCTTCTGTCTATACCACTTGATCCCACTCTTCGATAACCAAAAGGTCACCAACCAAAATAAGAGTTTCTCTGCACTGTGACGTTCACGTGTGAGATTTCCACGGCAAATACTCGGTGGCGCCATCTTCGGGAAAATGCTGAAGCTACTAGCCAATTGGTACGGCAGTCTTACCATGAGATGGTAATGTAGGAAGCTTTTCTTGTGGAATCTGGTTACTATGTACATATGTAGATTGTAGGCAGCAGGAACTTGGAAAGTTTCCGAAGAATATTGACATTATAATATTTTGAACAACTTGGTAAAATGGCTGAATCTTACAAATTTGTCTGATTTCTACTGATAAAGTAATACGGTTCCGCGATTATTTATAGAATTTACAATGGTTTGTTAAATATTGAATTCTGCACATAGCGAAAAGAAATATATCTTTCCGCCATCTACGAGAAAACTGCCAAGCTACTAGCGAAATAGTATCATTTATTAACGTTAGAGCGTGCCATGGTTCACTTTTGCGCGCAATTTGTTATTTTATTAAATATCACATTATTGAGTATTCCAATTGGTTTTTGTTGCTCAATATTATTCTAAAGAAATGGAATAAACAATTTGTCACCCACAGAATTCATTTATCATCGTCAATTACTCAAACTTTTATCTATACGTTGCTTTTAACATTCGCCTCTAATTAATTAAATATTAATTAAACATTGTACCGATAACAACTTTCAATGTATAGTATCGATACAGGGATCTCTAATAAATAATTTGACACCAATATCATTTCATTTTATAAAAAATTAACTTGATTTCACCCGAGTTTACTCGCGAGAGACAGAGAGTAGAACTCAACTGTCGAAATAATGGGAAATATCCACTGTCGGTTATAAACTCGTGTATATGATCCAATGCAAAAAGGCAGTTAGCTGGCTAGTACCCGACAAATGGATCACGATCTATCTCGTTAAAGACCTATGACACAATACCGGACGCTATAGCGATTCGTATTTTTATAAATCGAAAACGGTGTGCAACGGTCAAACGATTCACGGTGAGACGATTTGAGGCACATGGTTTGAGATGTAGTGGATGACAATTAGACCGCTAGTCGTTCGATAATTAGTAATTAAGATCGTCTACTATTGTTGGCCGATTATTAAGCGATCGTCGATTTGATTTTATTAATGAAATGAACAAACCGACGGACGATGAAGAACGCAGAAGACGCTCATTGGAGGCAGGCAGAGAGATGGTAAGAAGGTCCATCGTCCCGTTCTTTGTTTAGGATTAATTATTGATTGCCTTTGAAGTTATTCTTCATTCCATTTCACTAGGCTAATATGCTCGGTTACTTCTCTGCAGTATGTGTCAATTATTATATCTTGTAATAAAGTGGAGAAACTTTCGTGCAATTTGTACACAAGTAGAATTTGAGGCTCTCACCACCTGGCATTATGCAGTTATTAATCGGAAGGTTTTGGGTTTCAAGACTAGATTACTTAGTCTAATGTTTGTTTCTTTCAGTTGGAGAAGTACAAGGCGGAAAGAGTCAGTAAAGCCAGAGGTGCGGGTCACAGTCAAACGGAAGAAGTGTCGGATGAAGAATCTTTTCACAATGACAAATCTATTGGTCATAAAGAGTCTTATGTAAGAATATATTTCATGAAACAACGAGTCAACCTAGATTTTGTATATTTAGTACATTGAATATATATATATATATTTTGGATGCATTTAATTTGTAAAGAATTATAAAAGTATAATGTTTGCACAATGTAGGTGCACGAGGGTGTTTCATCAAGAGACATGACACAAAGTAGCGTCAGTATGAGTGAAGGAGAAGCAGATGGTGACCTGGAAGGACTTGCCGGAAGAGTGGCTCAGCTGGAAGAATTATTACAAGGAAAGGAAGCCATAGTTGAGGCTTTGCACGCCGAGATTGACCACTTAAGAGCCGAGGCTTCATCCCCTAACTCTTCGCAAAGTCAAAATAGTAGTATACAAGGCAGAGATATTATATCGTTATATCATACTAAGGTGTGTTATATCATCAATACGCACAGACACAGTAATTGGATAGTTTATTCTCTTTGTACACCACGTATACTATTAAAGATGCATTGTGTTTTGTTAAACAGTTGCAGGAGTTTGAAAAAGCAATAAATAAACGGGATAACTTGATAGAAGAATTGACGTGGTCGTTGCAGCAAGCATTGTCCGCGCGGGATAATCTTGTTGGTCAATTGAATTCTTTGAATGCCATACATATTTCTAATAAAGATGCACCTTGTACAGTAAATAGTGCAAATTTACAAGATAAGGTGAGTCGTAATTTCTCTAAATCGTGAAGGAGTCGGGTCACGTGTACAGGTTAATTTTCGTACAGATCGACAGCATGGAAAACACATTGAGCGAACAGAGATCGATAATACAAAAACTGAACAGTCAGCTGATTCAAACCCAGGAACACGTGCAGACGTTAGAATTGGAGAAAGAAACACGAAACGCCGAGATCAACGACTACAAATTACAGATAAACAATTTGAACGAACAGATTCGATTGGGTGCAGCTGACAAGAACTTGAACATCGCCGAGACGTTGGAGCAGCAGAAGCAATACGAGGCGCGTGTCGATAAAATCAAACAGGATATGCAACATATTTTAGAGAAATTCACGACTGAAACGAACGTGAACACTGCGCGTCATCAACAGGAATTGAAGGTATGTGCCAGAAGCTTGTTACACCATTAGACACCTTCGTTTTAATAATTTTCATTAATTTTCCTCTAGGATTTGGCTGTGAAACACGAAATGGAAATAATGAACATACAAGAGAAATACGAAGAAAGATTGAACCAATTGAAAGACGAGAATAAGTCGTTTGCGGATCGTTTGAACAAAGACTTGCCAGATTTGGAGACCAGACACGCCAAAGAACTATCTATATTTCAGGCTCAAATGGGCCACTATAAAAAAACCGTCGAAGCTTTGAAGCTAGAACTGATGAACCGATCGGAGTCTCAGCACATTGCTCAGGCCGAGCTGAATCACTACCAGACAAAGCTGAACGAGCTGAAGGTTCAGTCTGAGAAAGCACGTCACGTGCAGGACTTGGATCATCAGAAGGAGAAGGAAATGCTGAGCGAACAGATCACGCTGCATAAATTGCAATTAGAAGAGATGACGTCGAAATACGTTGCTGCGACTGCGATTCTGGAATCGAAAGAGAGCATGGAACGTTCCTTGGAGCAAGCGTTAACGAACGCCGCGACATTGAAGGACGAGAACGACAGTTTGAAATTCAAACTGGACGATTTATCGTCCAGATACTCGGTGGCCCAGTCGCTGATCGAGAACAGTCAACAGCATGAACGGACACTGAGCAACAGAATCTTCGATCTGGAGAAGTCCTTGTCCAGGGTCAGCGGTATAAACGTCAGTACATTGAGTGAACTGAACGAGACCACTTACCAGACGTTGGACGAAGTGGCGATACAGTTTCAATTGACAAAGCAGAAGCTCGAGGAGAAGGCAGAGTTCGAGAAGCTTCTGGTCAATAAAATCGAGGATCTCGAGGATGACGTTCGGAGGACGAAAGAGGAGCTGGAGCAAGCAAATCTGACCAAGAAATCCTACGAGAAACAACTGAAGGACATGAAGAACAGCTGTGATAAATACAAATCCGAGCTGTCTTCATTGAGGAAGCACGAGCTGGATGGTCAGAGTGCTCAGGCTAGTCAGATCAGTGATTTATTACAGAAAACTGAGGAGGACAAGCAGGAGATAAAAAAACTGAAGGTAATTCTGGAACGGAAGGAGGCAGAGCTAACAGAATCTGTGAGACAAGTGCATGATTTTTCGGAGAAATTCAAAAAGTCTGAGGAGGAGTGTCAACAGCTGAAAAGTGGATTGGCCACGGCATGGGCTCAGTGCACAGAGATGGAAGAGAAATTGAATCAAACGTTGGTGTTGAGCGAGAGTAAACTTGACATGTCGGTACCATCGTCCAGCTGTAATAGTACCTTGACAAAGCAAGTGAAAGTTATACACGACCAGTGCACAGACACAAATAGAATGTTCTACGAGAACAAGGAAGAGCTAGAAACCACAGCATCGTTGCAGGCAAAGCTTGCATCAGTCTCAGAGGAGAATGAAAGATTGTTGAAGGAGTTTGAACACTTGGAAGATAAACAGGTTGATTATAATGAGATCAAGGACAAATTGAAACACTATTCCACTCTGGCTGAGAACTTGGCAACTGAGCAACATCGTATGGAAGGTGAGAACCAATCCATGAGGAAGGAACTTGGAACTGTACGTTCGCTTCAAGAATCAGTGAATCAGCTGAGAGCAGAGAAGGAATCATTACGGAAGGAGATAGATGCACTTGTTTGCGTTCATGATGAGCAGATAAGCGCGATAAAGGCTGAAACAGCGTCAGAGATCAGGAAAGTTCAGTCCTTGGCGTTGGGCGTGAAAGACGGTACCACGGAACTGCACGAGCTGAAAACTGAATTGGAGAAGCGTCACGCGAAGGAAATGGAGGAGCTACGGACCTATTTCGAGCAAAAGTGTCTCTTGATGGAGAAGCAGTATTCAGAAGAAATATTCAGCCAGCAATCGAAGAAAATGTCTGACAATGACAGCGAAATAGCTGACCTGACGGAAGGCTTATATTTTGGAGGCGCTGGGGATTGTCTGAATGCTTCTAACCTCTCTGAACGCAGCTCAAGGGTCGGTTCTCCATTAGGGGATGAACAGTCGAAGCACAATAGTAATGGTCTCAGTAGGTCTGAACTGGAAATGACCATGAAGGCGTTGCAACAGGAATTGCAGAATAAGATAATAGAAGTGCAAGAGGTGAAATTACACTATGAAAAAGCATTGACTGAACAGAAGAGCAAGTACGAAAGGGAACTATGCAATAAACAGGAAACACAGACGCATGAATTCTTGCGAAACGTAGTGAATCAGGTAGGTGCAGTACTTACTAATCTATGCATTTTTCATTCATTGTAATTAATGCATTATATTTGTATTATATTTTGTGTTAGACGTTGAACACTTTCTCTGTGTGTTAAAGCTTCCTTCTCCATCGAACTATCTGTTATTTACTAATAAGAGTATATATACATATGTTTTTCGTTCATTCCTTCACTGTGTCTCTACATTAGATCTACCTCGAATTTGATACCTTTCGGTAGAACAGGTGGATACATGTTTGTTGAAGTAGAACGAATAAGTTCTAGAATAATCTTACCAAAGAAGTGCATGATACATCAGTGTACAATTGAGTGTAATCTATGTGTATGTTCAATTCAGTTTTAGTTTCTTTATTTTTTTTTTTGCGTTCCGTTAGCTTCGAATAGTTTTAGAGTAACTGAAAATTATTGTGCGCATACTTTCCAATATGGAACTAGACGTAACCGTGATAATACCATTATTCCTCCTGTAACTAACATGCTATTGTGTGATCACATACGTGTGCATGCAGCATTGTCAAACAGAGTGGGATGCGGGTGCGTTGGAAAACGGTGAATTAACTCAGCTGCGAGCGGCCTACAACCATCAATTGGAAGAGCAGATCGCGCTAGCTAAATTGGATATTGTCAATGCACTTCAAGAACAGATTCAGGTAGTTTTAGAATACACACGAATTTATGGACAAATTACTTAGCAAGTATCAAAACAACTACATTTATTATTTGCAACAGAAATGAACAGAGTGGGAGATTGTATTTATAGTGAACTAATTGGTTGCTTTTATATTGGGATCATTTGTGTAATAGGCTCTCCTGTCGGTCGAGTCAGAGGTGGAAGACAATCTGTCACCAGAGTTGTTGGAGTTACGCGATAGACTCACTGGGAATGCAAAACGCGAGATGCAGTTGCTTCAAGAGACTCATGCCACGGAAGTGCAACGACTGAAGGACGAGTATTCACGAAATGTCGCCAGAATGATAGATCGCCATCAGGAAGAGCTGAATAAAATTAGAGACACTGCTCCGGATCTTGACAAGAAACAAGATTCAAACAAAATCTTGCCTCCTGACATTCTGGCGGAGAGGTATTTAATACTCGAGTGGATACAGAAATCATTTTTTTACACTTACTAAATAGTTCTGATGTTTTTGTTACACAGGAACAGCTTACGCAGAACATGTGGCACCCTTAAGATCCTGATCGAGGAATTGGTGAAGTACTTTGTCATATGCGAAGAAGAAGTGAACAATACTGTCATCACTGAGGTGCTCAAAAGGCAATTCTCCGATAGTATTATTAACGAAAAGACGCTACATACCGAAGAAGTCGAGAAATCGCAGAACGAAGCATACAATCCTAACTTAAATGTATCATCACCGAAGATCAAGCGAGTCCACTTTGCTCCGCAGACCATTGAAATAATATCGATCATAAATAGTGATAACGAGACATTAGAGAACACCCTGGGACACGATATTATCACGGAAAAATTGAAGCAAGAACTGAACAACTGCGTGCGACGTTTGAAGTCCGAGAGCGCTGAAATTCTGGGTGTCTCGTCCGCTAACGTTGGTGGTCAGCGTAGCTCTCTCGCGAAAGACGTCACGTGGATCAGTAAAGCGAACGAAGAGTTAAAGTCAAAGCTACACGAGGCGGAGTCCCTGATCATGAGCTATGAAGAGGAGATGGAGCAATTGAAAGTCACTGTCATTGACCTTCAGAGAAAGTTAATTAGTGTGGAGAACAAGAAAGAGATCATTACCGAGGGTTACGGAGAGAATGATGACGTTGGCACTGAAGTTACGTTGCAAGACTTTTCATTATTGCAAGAAAAAGGTAAACCAATTGAACTCCCTGATTTTGTGAACATTATATGCAACGGTAATATATGTTTTTTAGCGAGGCATGTGCTATCCAACGGTGGTGGTGACTCTACAGACCTGTTGCAGCTGATCGAAGAACTGTGCAGGCAAAGCGACAAGTTAATGGAAGATGCAAGGAAAGAGAAGGAGGACCTACAGCAACAGGTAAATTCGAGGTTTACCAACTGATGCACCAACTGCATGTATTTTTATGACATAGAATTGGTATGCTATATACAAGAAAGTTGTGGTGTATTTGCATATTGAAAACGAGTTCGGTATTTGGTACCTTCATTATTTTTAGTGTCTCATCTGTATCTATGAGCATAGTATTCGTATATCGCACATTTTTTGTTCAATTTTTATGCATCAGTGTTTTCCACCTAGTTTTACGTTTCTCACTAGATTTTATATTCGTTTTGGTTAATTTGTTGTAACGTTAAATTTGATCCTGTGTATAAAAATGATAGTGAAAAATTTTGTTACGAATACTATTTAACCGGAGAAAACAAAATTTAACGGGGTACAAATTGTACTGGCTCTGTGATGCAGTTTTTAAAGGATTGATTGGCGTTTTGTTATCTTGCCAGCAGGTGCATTTAGAATCTACTCCTCCCCCATACATTCACAGGGTTTGCCGTCGCAAGGTAAATTATAGAACTACTAATACTATTATAAAGACAAAAGCTGTTCCGTAAGTCGATCGTAACTTTAACAGTACATTCAAACGGACATTTGTTTAATAATGGATTGACAATGCAACTCGAAGATTCCTGGTGTCATGTTACCTCTAAAAAAAAAAAAATAACAATAACTTTCCAACAATTAATGCTAGCATGTGCAACCACTTATATAAATATATGGTGTATTTTTTCGGTATCTTTTGCATGTGCACAATTAATACTTTTACATTATACCTCATTTCCAAGTTATTAACACCTACGAAAACGTAATAATTGAAATACACAAATTTATTAATTTTCACGCACAACTGTTTTCATGCTGTCTAGTGTAACTGTATTTTATATTAATTTCTAGTTATTAAATAATGTCTCTTTTTCAGATTTTATTGTGCATTTATGTATATATATAACTTTATGTAATATTTTATCACACGAAAATACTCTTGTATCGACACCATAACTGATTTTAATTCAATAAAAATATCCATAGATCGAAGCAGCGGACAAACAATTGAAAGCTACTCGAAGATTCTTGGACGAGCAGGCAAGCGAAAGGGAAATCGAACGTGATGAGGCCGCGAAGCAAATACATATTTTGCAGGAACAGCTTAAAGAACGCGAACGCGAAAAGGAAAGAGACCTACGTATCACATCGGAGGTAATTTCAACGCTACTTTATAGTCTGCCAATGGAAAAGGGGAGAGAAAAGGGAATAATCCTGCCATTTGAGTACTCAAGGTTTACATTCATCCTGGAAAACTTGTGAATTTACATTTGCATCTTTTGGTGCTGTCTAATATAATATATAAGGATTCAGGTATACAAGAACTAATCATTGTCCTGGACTGGGTTTTTCACCCATAATTACCACTGACTCTGTCGATATTTAAAAACTGGTTCGACTAATGGATAACTCGTTCGGAGGGTGGGGGTTTCATGCTAATTATTCTTTTTTTTACATTACATCTTAATATTATGCAGCTTATAACCCACGCATCGTCACTAATTGTATTAACACAAGTTTTTTCTGGCACTCTGGTTTTGGTTTTCTGTTTGTCGCACAATGCAGTCCACACTATCACCTGAACCAACCTCAGAGGTCCCTGTGCTTCAAGCATCTGACATCAGTGCAGCTGTGAGTGGTATATTCTATTTATTCTAAGAACTACAGGATGTATGTTAGGCAAAGAATATGAAACATACGTCTTAATGGAAGTTGAATTACTTTCTCTGCATGTGATTACAGTGGTCTCCGGAAGCTTAAATATGAACATCACTGGTTTATTTTAACGAAATACTTTTGTATGCTTTACATGTTGGTGGTGTTTTTTTTCTTGTGATTAGTCGTGCTTAAGAGAATCTGGTTTAACGGGTGACACGTAGTCAGAGGTTTGTCTGGAATTCAGGTGGAGGCACTCGAGTCGCAGATGAGGGAAATGTCCTCCCTGATGTCTGACACAGAGGCAAGGAAAACAGAAACTGAGAGTGAACTGAAAGCAGCCATCGACAAGATCTGGGTCCTCAGGGATATCATCACCGATCTGGAGCAACAGCTGCAAATCAGGAGCTGGACGCCGTGAAAATGGGTAGCGAGAGCAAACACCTGAACGAGCATATTAATCACTTGCAGGTAACGATTCCGTGAACTGTCCTTGAAATTCCATTTGCTATAAAATATCATTCACAGGAGGAATTGAGGAAGCACAAATTGAGCTCGGAACAGTTCAACGTGAATTCAGCCGCGTTGAAGCAGATGAAAACGGAGCTTCGCGAGATGCAGAATCACTTGGACAAGAGGATCAAAGACCTGGAATCAGTTCACATGTGCAGCTCGAACCTGAGCTTGAGTCAACCCAGCGAAGACGTTTCGATTAGAGAACAGATAGACGCATCTCGATGTCCTACTCCAGATGATCCTAATTCACCACCGATGTTGCCTCTAGACCAGCTGCTCAAGCTTAAGGAGAAAATGGTGAAGCAAGCCAGAGCCGAAGAGGTTGCCTTCAAGAGGATTAAGGACCTAGAGATGCAGGTGGCTGCTCTGAAGAATCAGAACGAGGAGCTGCAGGCGGAACAGGAGATACTCCAGCAAACAACATCTGAACAATTGTTCCAGATCGAGGCGATGCGTGGCCGTTTGGAGCAGCACAAACAGAGCGCCCCGTTCGCCCAGCGACAGGCGACGTCCCGTTTGGAGTTGCAGCTTCACGAGGCGAACGCGAAATTTCAGTCCCTGGAACGAACCATAGCGGACAGAGATCTGGAACTAAAGGATGTCCACAGTCAATTGGACAGGGTGAATCAGTTGCTGCAGGAGAAGGAGACAGAGATTGCGAATGTCGTGCAGGTAGAGAGCGCTACCATTCAGAAATTGAAAGAACACCTGGAAGTGGTCGAGGAGGAGAAGAGGATTCTGCTGGCGAAGCTTGGCGTCCAAGAACACGCTCAGTTGGAGCTGCCACGGTTGATCGACAGCATGCTGGCTGATAAGAACGAGGAATTAGATCACCTGAAGGAACAGTTGTCGAAGAAGGAGAAACAATTGGACTTGTACTCGTCGTTGAACCTGGACGAAACGCAGCTAAGGGAGCTGATACGGCAAACGGAACCGAAGAACAGCGCTCGCACCTTGAGCGATATTTTGTCTATTCATTCAGAGTGTGAGGAAACTGCGGAAGCCATTCGTGGAGTAAATGCTACTCAAACGTTGCCCAACACGTCCGTTTTCAAAGTCCCCACGCCGTTCAGTTCAGTCAGAATCGAGGACGACTCACCTGGGCCTTTGGTGGATACCAGCAAGATGGGAGTGCAAGTGCCCCCGTTGGATCTAGGGTCTCATAGTTTGTCGGCCACGTACAATCAGCAATCGTTGGTCATGGATTTATTGTACAATGGAATGGAATCTGGAACCTCGGAGAACAATGCCATCACGGATGAGACGGATAGAGTCTCAGAGTCTAGGCCAGATTGCTCTGGAACGCAAGAACCTTTGGAGGGGTCTGCTGGTAAAAATGATGGCGGTAGGTCGCGAGTCACTTCCATTAAGACCACTCAGACTTCTATCAATGAGTCGATCAAGGAGATACAGAACTTGGAAAACCAGCTGGGAATCGTTAGGGAGGAGCTGCAGACGAAGTCAGTGCTTTTGGAGAAACGTGAATCGGATTTGTTGACCCTGCAGAAATTGTACAATGAACTGCAGGAGAGCGTGGGCTCGATGGCTACCGAAAAATGCTTCTATCAGAACCAGTACGAACTGTCGAAGGCGTCCGAGAGCAAGATAAAGCAGGATCTGCAAGAGGTGGAGAACGTTCTGAAGTTGAGAAGCGAGGAGATACAGGAGCAGAAGAGCAAGATGCAGGTGAACGAGAAGATCATAATGGAGTTGAATTCAGAGAATACCAGGCTAAAGGATAATATGAGGGAGAAGGAGCAGGAACACGCGAAGAGGTGCAGTGCATTGGTGCAGGAGAACATAAAGGAGTTGGAGACTTTAAGGGATAGAATTTTGGAGAAGGACAAGCAGCTGTACGAGTCCAGAACCAGGAATCAGTCGTTGAAACAAGAGATTCTGGAGTGTCAGAGCGAGATACAGCGACTGTCAGAGGGTTTGAATAACCGAGATCAGACTATCAGACGACTGGAGGAGATGGTCAGACGTATCAGTCTCTCAGGTGCGTCCTCACCATCCAATGAGAAGGACGAGGAGATCCATCATCTGCAGGAATATTTGAAGGAAAAGGACAAGGTCATACGACAGATGAGCGATGACAGTAAGAGCCTGCACAGAGCTTTGGAGACCATACAGAACAAGATGAAGGAATCTGGTAACGTGGTGGAGCTCAGAAGGAAGCTGAAGGAGGAACAGAAACTTGTTGCTGAATTAAGGAACACAGTGGACATACTGAGCAAGGAATTGTCAGACTTAAAATTGGCTGTTCGTGAGTATATAATTTAGTTTAGTGGAAGAGGGGCAAATCCCACAATACTATAAATTTACACAACTACTTTACAGAAAAGTAAGGTTAAAGCTTGTTAATGGTGCAAAAAAAAAACTAAAAAATGATGCAGATGTGGCGTGTGCCCCTCAATTTTCTAATATAATTCCTTGTATAAAATGATTTATAATCTCTGATTCGTTAAATGAATTTCCAGAAAGGTCACAGGACGACACCGACATCGAGGATATGGTGCAGCGAGAGCTGAATCTGTCGGCGCACCTAGACAGGCAAATTATGAACGCCATTGAAAGCGACCAAGAGGAGGAGGCGGGCGCGTGTCGCGTAGAGAGGCAGGTTCACAGGAGCACAAACAAGGAGAGAGAACGAGTACAAAGAAGTAGCGAATTAAATCTGCAATTGACCCAGGCGAATAAGATCAACGATGAGTTGAAGAAACTGAAAGACGATTTGGAGATTGAAAGGGGCATGCTCAAGTGCCAGATCGCGGAGTACGAAGGTCGGATCTTCCAGCTGAAGTCGGACCTAACGGAGGAGTGTAAGAAGGTTAAGAAATTGAACGAGGAACTGGTGTCCGAGAAGAATTTGGTCCGTAGTCTGAGGATCCAACTGGAGAAGGAGCACAGATCAATGCAGTCAGGTCAGATGCAGGACTCGGAGCTGATCGAGTTCCTGCAGAACAAGCTGAAGACGTCTCTGGACAATGAAGGAAAATTACGCAATGATCTGTCGTCGTTGAGACAGGAACACAAGAGCCTTGAGATACAATTAAGCTTGATGAAGGAGCATGTACAGTCCCAGAAGTCGGAGGAATTACCAAAGCTTGCGGATCTTTTGGAATCTGAAAGGAAGAAGTACTTGTCACTGATGGAGAACTTCGAGAAAGAGGAGCGTAATAATGCGGAACTGAAGGACACCTTGAGGAAACTGCAGACGGAGAAGAGCCGATTGGAGAAGCAGTTGGAAATGGAGGTGGAGGAGAAAGAGAAAATGATAAGTAGCCTGGCGCTTATCGAGGGAATCAAAGACCATCTGCAGACGGATCTGAGCCGTACCAAAGAGGAACTGAAAGATTGCGAAGCTGAATGTGAGTGGCTTCAGAAGAGGATCAAGACTATGACCGACGCGGAGAATCGAAGGCAGGAGCAGAGGACCACCGAGCATAATGAGCTTAAGGGATTGAGGAGGGAAATCAATAATGCTAGAGAAGTTATGGTTAGTATTGCATTCTTTGTTTTCAATCCTCCTCTGTAATATGATTAATTTTTTCTTTTTATTTGGATAGGTGGATTTGGAGGCTGACATGAAACAGTCGAAGAGAGAACTGACAGAGGCTGTGGAACGTGAACTGAAGCTGGCTGAGACCCTGGAGTCCCTGAAGGAAAGGGAAACCGATCTGCTTAAGAAATTGTTCGTCGCCAAAGATGAGGAGAAGAAGCTGAAGAGTATGATCGCCGAGTTGCAACAGGATCTGAGATCGTCCGCGGAAAGGGAATTGGAATTGGCAAAGCAAATGAAAAGCAGATACAGCAGCGATAAGACTACACCCACTAAACTTCTGCAGAAAATCAAGGTACTTAGCGATGCAGTATTTCACGTTAGGTTCTACTTCAAATATAACTGTAGTTTCAAGAAAAACTTGTGAAAGCGTTAGAAGATAAAGAGCTGCTTGGTCAACGAGTGAAATTATTGGAAGCTCGTCTGAAACGAGGCGTCGACTCTCACGATGTGAACGCATTACGTGGATTGGGGGATGATTACACGGACAAGGTAGTTTTCCATTTGTTAATACAAATCGTATTCATCCTCTGTTATTTATAATAACAATTTTCATGTGCACCCAGTTGCTGCACTTCTATGGAAAGTACATGAGAGCAGACAGCAGACGGAAGGCATTGACATACCAGAAACGTTATTTGTTGACGATAGTCGGCGGTTATCAGATCTCAGAGGAGAACACGTTGTCTATATTGGCCCAGTTAACGAAAGAGCAACGATCTTACGCCACCGTGGGTCGCCACAAGAAATCGCCGAGAGTACGTTTCAAGAGTGTAGCGTTGGTTCTTATCAGTATACACAGAATGAAGTGGTTAATTGTAAGATGGAGCATCGGTAGACGTATAGGTGCTAAAACATTGTTGTGGAACGTGGATCAGTCGTACGTGTCGGTGCCGAAAGTTACTATGAACCATTCGCCTCCTGTTCGAGAAAGACCTCCTACAAAGTGAGTGGATTCATCAATATTATGGTCTGATTTTCATGGATATAATATCATTCATTTTCATTGTATTCACTTTTCAGCGAGGATGGGATTTTTGATGGATTCGCGCTTGAACAGTATTATCAACGATTAAGGAATATTCAGCAGACATTAGGTTTAGCGATGGCGGAATCTGGAAGCCGTCAGATTCATCCCGAATAGTATTATCACCCATCTAAGTCCATTAAACTTGAAGACACAAGCATGAAACGTACTCTGAGACTGTGATTGAAGTATCACGTTGTTTGTTTAAATGCAACGGTTGGGCCTGAATGGGGATTGCCATTCCCAAAATAGGAATACTCGAACTCAACCAGAAAAATATTGTTGGAATTTTGATCGTTTTGTGATGTGTATTTTTCTTTTTACAGAGTGTAAATAAGAGTTTTAGCATAGAAACTGCAATTGTTCAACACGCGTTAAGTCTTCGCACTGATTACACTGTACTGTGTGCTACTATTTACGTTTTAGTACTATGATTTTAAATGATTTAGAGGAGACGATAATGATAGTGTTAAAATAACCGTGCTCATATATCATGTTTTACCAAAGGTACGATAGATTTTTATTTTTAATTGTACTGTTAGACCTTCTAAGGATGCGAAACTGTGCCTTGTAAACTATAAATATAATTGTCTAGTATTTATTTATTAATGATATGTAAGTTTTTTATATCGTGAATAAAATGTGGAATGACTTTTTATGAAACCGGTGTAGCCTGGGAATTGATAATTAACAGTCGTCTCGACATATATATATATATATATATTTGTATATTTTAACAAAAAGTATCTATAATGTCAATTCAACGACACACACTCAACACTCGTTGCCTTGTGTATTTTTTAATAAATACGATCACAATTCGAACCTGCTGCAATACTATTTCAAACGTGCAATCTGTTTTTCATTTTTAATGATGGATACACGTGTTTTCACAGCACTTCACAGAGTGATCGTCGTTAAAGAGGATTCTGGTCCATTGGAATATAATGAGGATTACTTTATAACACTGCAAAGGAAGTCCGTCAAGTTTCAAATAATACTAATCAATGTATAGGAGGGTAACAAGCTATACGGAACTCTATTGTTTTTCTTGTATATATAACTTTTAACACTGCTTAATTACAATTTGTAGCTGTTAAACGATGCTCGAAAAAAATTGAAGGGAATCATCGCTGGTAGAAGTTCAATGCTATTTACATATTTACAGTAAGGTGAGTGATAAAATATATATGGCAATCATCTAGCTTCATACACGGTATATCAAAATACCTGAAATAACTCGAAGGAAACAACTTTCAGATTGTACCATGTAGTCTGAGACACCTTGTATATCTTTGATATATCTAAAGCTACGTCCGATTTTGATAACCCTAAGAATAAGGCTTTTTTTTGTTATTCGTTTACAATTATCGTCTAAAACAGTGGAAATCTTATATACTTCGAGTATTAACTCATTACTAGACTGCGGATTTGATGCATTCGTAGAATTTCGTACGTGAAACATTCTTCGGTAGGAGATAAGATATAAATATTTGTTTAACATTTGACACTGTAAACTAGTTGAAAAAGCCTGTGATCTTGCATAACGATCCGCAGTCTACTAATTACTATCATTTTTTCAAGATTTTCGTAACAAACGGCCGATATCATATTAATTGGAAACTACATTTTATGGAAATTTTAAATACTTTCTTTGTAAAATATCGTAGAACGTTAAGACTTACTACTTGCACGAGCTCGTAGAGATTCGAATATCCAGACCGAGAATTGGAAGAACTTGAGGAACACCATTAGAATCGCGTTCAATTCTCGGATGACACAAAATTGTTAAATAAACCGTTTAACTACGAAAAAATCGACACTACGTGTAACATCGTTTGAATACTGAACTCGTTCGCGTAAACTGAACGAACTGATCTATCGAGCCTTCTGATTGGCTGTTGTCGCCTGATAATCGAACTTCGCCCGGGAAAAATCGAATTCACGTAATTTCTTCCCGCTCAAACCACTATCCGCGTTTGTGATTGGTGCACGCGTCCTTGAAGTTGGTTGCGTTAAACGGGCCGAAGTAATCGTCGTGAAGTTGTCGAATGATCGTCTCGATCGGGCACAATTTCGAATCTCTGCGTGTCCTCTCGGTTTCGGATCGTTCGACGTAGCTTGCACTGTAGAAATTCGCGTTTCTACAGAATGGTATTTTTTGCGTGACATCTTTCCCGTTAACGATCACACGGAAGTAGAAGTCACTGGCCACGTGATTCTCGTTCCTCGGATTTATCCGGTATACCTCGATAACAAAACGTGAGGCGTAATGTGGCATGGTCAGCTTGTCGGAGAAGATGCCCAGAGCAGTTGCAAGGTATTCCAGCGTCTTGTCGTGCCCTGAATAGAGAACGATCTTGGGTCTTCCTTCCGATATGATGTGCAACATGTAAGTAACTATGTTTCGAAGAAGTCCGTACGCCCTTAATAAGCCGTATTTTCGACGATTGTTACTTTTCGCCGCCTGTTTCGATTCCCATTCTGTGTACGCGAACAGGCCTGTCACGTGTTCAGTTTTAACGCAGACACGTTGCGTTTCGAGATCTACACATGGTAGAGAGGCTCCATGGCAAACGTATGTTAGCAATGCGTCTTTCAGAGTATTTGGATCCGTTGTTTGGGCCTGATCTGGGATCTCAAAGACCGCACTGGATGCTTGTTTTATCAGTTCTGCCACTGCTGGATGGGACTTCAGATGATCAGACATTTCCTGTAAAGATCCATTGTGGTCAGATACTTACTGTCTATGGACTTCAAATAGGTTCGATCCTTTACCTTTATGTGTTGTTTGAAGAATTTCTCTGCAGCAGGGCATGCACAGTCTGCGCTGCAAAAGGCATAGCTTTGGCTTTCTTGCATGTTGATTTTGGCAAGGTTCTGGAAACCGTCTGTCTCCAAAAGTGCGTATAACAAAGCTACTGCACTTTGAACTGTTCTTCGGTACCTGGTGCTGTATACAACAACATCTTTGCTGGTCATAGTACCGTTTCCCAGATTCAGTTTATGGTAATATGCATTTCTAAGTATGGTGCCAGTTTTCAAGAGTTGTGCTACACCTAAGGTTGTCAACTGGCCGATTCTACAGTCTTTGGAATTGGTGGGCAGCATAGGAAAACCATGGAAGGGCCCCAAGAATTGTGCCCATGCTGTTCTGGAGTAGCTGGAGACGTTCTGCAGGAAGTTTACATAGTTCTGATAAATATTTTCTAGCTCAGGCATGGACCCAAAGTCTCCTCCGCAGTTTACTATGCTTATATTTCGAATGTGAGCCAATGGCCCTCTGTCTCCGTGTCGTACAAATACTAAAACACCGCCCAGTGTCAGATTTCCATCTAATTTTCCTGGATGTAGAAAGACAGTACGATTAAAGTACTATTAAATTAATGAGTATATCTCTGATAATGCTCTCTGTGAATACCTTCTGTGTCTGCAACAATTTCATTAGGAGGATTACAAAATCGAAATATCTTTTTAGTCTTCACGTCTGCTTTGAAATTTCTAGGAAATTCTCTTACAGAAATATCATTCCCCAGTACCTTCGCCTGCAGTGAACTCTTCTCATCTATACCAATATATTTGTACATACCTATGGAGGGTACAAAGAAAGAATTTTACTTTTATTGCACAGCACTAATAACTAAGTCCCAGAACCCGTATGCGTTATCGATAAGGCTGATATTCGTTTAAAAAAAGAAAGGAGGAACAGAGAAGGTCAAAAGCGTCAAAAGGATTCCTGAGCCGTGTTTACGGCTTATAACTGGCCGACGAAGCAGACAACATGAAATCCTCTATGTTGATCGCATTGTCGCATGTGTTTACTATTCACAGCTTACATCACGATCCAAAACAGCGTTTTATATTCGAGTATTATATTCAAATCGTCGGGACATGCAGCGAAACAAGGGAACTACGGTGCCAGAAAAACGAAAATAAAGGTGCCAACAGAGAGGAACGAAGAACATTTGATTTCGGATTACCGGCGACAAGAAGGAAGATCCAGACGCTGAGGATCACGTAGCAGTAAAACGCTCGATGCTGGTAAGAGAGTCGAACCATTTCGGCCAACATCTTGCACTAGTTTTTGGTTCTCGACGGTCTCCCCAAATCTGGTAATAACGACCTCGAAGACGAGGATGACCAGAATGAATCCGGTTCAACGACACCGATCCAGAATGCATTCTATTTCTTCAGCTACCCTGCAGCATGGCCCTTTCGCCGTGTCCCCTGGAGGACTAAGATTACTGTGAAAGACGTCGAGGGAATCGTCTACATCTGGTCGACTCTTGGACACCGACTCGGACCATAAGAAGACGTCAATGGGCGCTGTCGCTCGTCCGTCATCTGACATCTCTCAATTTTTTCCTCTCTGATTAATTTATCGATTATTTTCCAGGTATCTAGACAGCGAGTCCTGAAGACCCGAGTATGTTTACAAAGAGGACCGTTGTTCAACAATCGTGGAAGCAGTATAGACACTCGTGTAATTTGTTTTTCGATGTTGACTTTTTATTTGTCGTTTGGTCGGGTGCATAAAAAGGGGAAACAATTTTACTGTATATCAGTGGTTTCTTCTAGAGTTTAATTAGACTTTCAAGTTTTACTTTCCGTGTCGTTCGTTGTTTTACAAAGAGAAAGTTTACAGGGGCCAATAAACGACCCCCTCTTCAGTTCACACATTTATCGCGGGACGCATTTATCGTGTTTCGTTTTCTTGCTTGTTGTTGGCGTGCTATTGTATATACAAATTTACATTTTTATAACGATAACAATGGGAACGTGTTGCCGTATGACAGGCGCGGATAGACGCAGTGGCTGGTCGTTGACATCTCGTCGAAGCCACCCTCACTTTTTCGCAACTTTCGCGATGTCAACCTACTCGAGATGACACTTCCGTGGGTATTCGCACACGCGATGGAACGGGCCGAATACAGAGGCGAAACTAGAACCCTAATGGAATATTTTTCTCGGACCACAGACAGGTGAAGACGCACTCCTTGCGACAGGAGTAGGTTATCGGAGCGCGCACGCGTAGAACGCCCCCGTGTCTCCATTGGCCTGGCCTCTGTTTCAAATTCACATTTCGATCCGCCACTTAAGAAGTTAATTCCACACCGACGAAAGTGTAGAATATTTTCGAGACGGAGCTGCTGGAATAATCATTGATTCGTCTGAAAATTATGAATCGAACATTCTTCACCTGGATAGAAAATTGTTAAGAACTTAAGAAAATCTTGCTGTCCCCAACGAGTCCACCTGTCCAGCCTTCAATTCTTCCTAACGAGTGTTTCTCCTTTTTCCTTTGATATTTTTACCTGGAATCTTAATTCGAAAATTCACGTCCATCAAATTGATGTAATGTGTACGTTCACAGTGTCTGAAGGATGCAGTTTATCAAGGTGCGTTGGATGATGAGGAATTTCGTGTCTACCCTTGATGGAATCCATAAATTGATCTTTGCATGAAGAAAATTGTATTACACCAAGGCAGCGTTCGCTTAACGTTCGTCGAGCAAATGTTTGTCAAACGCAAGCTCTCCCGTCGAAGGGGGTAAAAGTAGGCTGGCCAAGGAGCAGCGCGCAGACGCCATGGTATCTATTTCCGATTTCGGGTATGCCTGTGAATCTTGTCTTACCCATCCTTGATGCCCTGATGCTCTTTGACCAAGCTTCAGTAGCAACACGTTCATACGACTTAATCATGATTTTGAGGACCAGAACACGTGGCGACACGTAGGAAGCGTCCACGACGCCCCAAGATAATGGACCCTCCTTTTTTCGGTCGATGCCCAGGACGGGGGAAGACAGGCCGAGGAAACGACAGAGAAGGAAAGCAACAATGAGTCTAGGAGATTAGTGCTATACGGACCGTTTGCTCCACAAGCAGCGGATGGGGCCGTACGAAGCGGATTCGGCTCGTACGACACGGGATCTTTTCCCCCCTGAGAATGATCTACCTACGGAGGGGTTCTCGCGTAGCGTCGCGGGGGCGTTGAATTGGCAATCAGTCGGCAGACGACGTAGACGGGTCCGATTACAGTCCTACGAGCCGTGCCTAACTGGCCTGATACGCGAGAGAGCCCCCGAGACTAACCGTGGTCAACTACGTACAATCTAGCCATCAGCCTTAAACGGAATATATTTACGGTTATATACAGGGTGCTTCATTTAACCTGACATATCGAAATATCTCCAGAAAAACGAAAAAAATGTGTCAAATAAACCCTCAATATTTTCAAAGGGGCTATCCACTTGTGCTAAAATTAGCCTGCCCCCTGGGGATAAGACGGGGGCAACTTTGGAATCTTAAATGGAAACCAACATTTTTTATTGTAGATTCAGATTCTACGGAAACATAGGCGGCCCCGTGTACTTCTGTCGCTGAGCGAACGTGTGACGTCGACATCCGTTCCCTCGCCGTTGAAGCTGCTTTGTACGCGACATAACAAAAGAAGAAAATATGGTTTCGGTATAATCGAACGGGTAGAGTGAGCGGAAAGGATACGTAGAGTGGCCGTGAAATCGGACAGGGAGACTGAAGTACCCGTGTTTCTCAGGTGTTAGGAGACCAGGAGTGTCAGAAATAGGGGGTGTAAAGGGTCTTGGGTCTTTCGTTTCAGTTTAAAGGCCTGTAGATACCTATATTGGTATTTTTATAATTTTTATACTTTCTGTCAAAAGTCTGCTTTACAAGCTATCGTTTCCACCGACTGTACCGTGAATCTTCGAATAGAAGACGCTGGAGGTAAATAGGTTGGCTAATGTCTTCCAGGATTAAATCAATTGGATTGTCCCGCGGCTGGAAAGTAAAAGGGAGAACCGCTGAATGGAAAGGCGTATGGAGATCAGGCATCTACAAACTGGATAGCCGCGGTTAATTAATGGCGCTATCGAGGTCTAGGATAATGTTGATCGACTGGACAAAGAAGCAAAAAAGTAGTTCAGTTAGAATGGTAGTCAACCGTTGATCTCGTCCAGGTGTAACTTCATCTTCAAAAGTTGAAAGTGCCTAGGTTGACCACCCAGGACTATTACGAAACGATAAAAATCCTGGCGGAGAGAAGGACACCGGAAATCACGATTGCACAAGGCAGCGTTGCCGATTAAGTTGTCGAGGAACTCATGGAAAATTGTCCAATCGTACTTTAGGACAGAAGAATACGTAAGATCGTTGGTACCGTTGCAGACTTCGATCATCATGGGGACATGAATCTTCTTGATCCATGTAACACCGCTGTGCCTCATTAGCATCGTTACCGGTGACGATCATGCTCGATCTTGCAGCCTTGGCAAGATCATTGCCACCGGTTGCGCCTCTGCGATGCGATCCTCGATCATACAGCGGCTCCGTTACAGAATGTCGCGAGTTTAATTGCATGTTATAGCGTTCTACTTATTATCGCGAAGGATAGGGTTCACGTGATTTGTAAAACGATCGGTCAAGGATCGTAGTGTTCAGAAATCGATAATCCTGGCCAAAACTATCGACGGATTTAATGGTCTATCGGAACCAGTACATGAAACAACAAACTATTTGGAGTTCAATACAGAGCGGACAAGGATTTTTTAACCCTTTGCAGTAGATTGTTCCTTCTGAAGGGACATAATGTATGGGGAATTAGGAAATATCCAGTACACGTGAGGTAGGTACCATAAGTGAGGTAGACGAAGGGCCTACCATTATTTAATCCTACCATTTACTTTGGGAGTTACTGAAATTTATGCTAAATTAATATTCGGCTGAACATTTATTTCAGTACTTGAGATAAATTTAGTCAGTGGTAGGAGACTTTTTTTTCAACGTCACTGTTTGCTCGCAAGGGTGCAAACGGTTAAAAGAAATTCCGTTATCAGAGGGTTTTCGCCAGGATTTACCAGGATAATCTCCAGTTTGAACCATTGTCGCGCAGTTGTATACAGGAATTCTGTAAAACAGGTGAACACCTGTGACGCCCGCGTCCAATTATCGCGTACCTCGCGGTCTTTCGACATCCAACGGAGATTAATTTATTGAGAAAGCCCCGCTAGAAATTCACGTGATTTCGAAAAGCGTGTATGCGAATCCCCGTACAAGGAAAATCATTGTATCCGAAGAGAAAGTTGCGGTTTCAACGTCTGGTTGACGGACTCCGGTGCATTTGACACTTGAGATTTCTAATTGATTTCGTAATATCTTTATTTCGTCTCGACTGGCTAAGAGACACTGGCCGTTTGATCCGCACCGAGATCGCAATCTGACGGATGCGTACTTTTACCCGAATTAGTGAAACTTGGAACGAAAGGAAATGAAAGTAAATTGGCTCGTCTGCGAGGGACGACGCCTTGGAACGCGGGTTAAGGGACTAGAGGCTGACTGGAAACTATTCTGAGGAATAGATCAAAGAGGACCGATCTAGATCCAGCATTTCTTCCCACCTACGTCTTATTATTCGAGTGTTCGTGAAAATCACCCCGTCGATTTTTCACGAAATATCCCCCTGTGTCCGTGTGGATCTCCGTTCCGAGAATCCCCTACCTGCTCAGGTAGAGGGTAGGAGGAAACGCGTCGATTCATGCTCGTCGATCCGATCATCGCCACCTGCCAGGTTCCTGGAACCTGTCCATTGTTGCGGTGGAGGCTTTCAGCCAGCTTATGGGGCTACCCTCTTCATCGAAATTACATTGTGGTCGGACAGGTCCGAGCGGTATCAACTTGGAATAGCGCCATAAATCCCCGGGCTAACTAGGTTAGAATATATAATAAGTACATATATTATTTATATTTAGCATTGCGCGTAAAATTTCGAAAGGGAGTACCCCAAAGGTACGTTCCATGTGACAGTAAAAGTTATGTCTTTCGTTGTAGCACTTCATGAGAATGCCCAGATAGCACAGGACGCCTTCAAGACGTCTATTTTACGGCTATTTCAGGTCTAAGGCGCCTTTAAGCCGTCTATAAGGCGTCATGTGCTATCTGGGTGTGAACCAATGGCATAACAAATGATAAATGCACGTGAAAATGTACTTTAACCTCATCTCCCACTCCAGGATTATTACCGTTGCGTATACGCAAAATAGGTTAGGTCGGAATAGATCGTATCTATTCGTCCCATGCGATTCGTGGAATCGAATAATAATTGATTTCGCTCGAAAACAGAGGTGGTAACATAACGTTGGTCGTACAATTATCGCGAGGAAGCGGTAGGTATTGTTCACGAATGGATTTGTTTATTCCAGCCGCGATCGTCGTTCCGATTCGAGACGCGTGACCTTCGTGACTGGCTGTGAACGCTGAAATCGTTTGATCGCTATTCTTTGATCTGTTTCCCTTTTGTTCCCGATGGGAATTACCGGCGAAGTGCACACTTTTGATTCACGTTGAACTATATTATTTTCTAACACGCGAATTAATTAACACGTTCTCGTCTCACGAGGACGTTAATCTCCGTCTACTTCTCTTTTATAATCGTGCCAATGAAAGCTCCAGCAGAGCCACCACGCCGCGGTGAAACGAACGTTTAATGAGCGTTAATGAAAACTCGTCGGGAGCGAACGTTTGTCGCGCGTGACCTCCCGTTTAGTCGCAATTTCTCCGTTGGGTTGCACACGTTATAAACGTTACATAAGTCGGCTCACGTGCTCGCTTATCGAAAACGATCACACTCCCCCTCTCTGGGTCTCGTCCTTTTGCGTCCTATCAAGGAAAACGGAAGAAGGGGTCACGGTCCAACTCTTCGAATCGGCGGTCTCACGTGTATGGCGTTAATTCAATGATGTTCTCAAGTCTTATCTTCGGAAACTTTGACACTGATAGCCCCAGGCGGACTATGAAGACGATTCTACGGCGCTAGAACTTATTGCAGCGGCGAAATATCTTCGTACAGAGTGATGCAAAAAATGGGTTCATAACTTCTAGGTTAGACAGTGCTCGCCAAACGATGCACAAAAGTCTTGATAGGTCGGAAAATTAATATTTTCAAAATTATATACCTGTGTATCACCCTGTATAATGCGATCTTCTAATTGAGGTACAGCAATATTGTTTTAGGTTATGTTAATGTAGTACTTACATAGAATTTTTTTATGAACATTGTATAGAAAGGTTAGCTTTTGTCATTGAAAATTGGGGACAATCTTTGACGAACGCAATTGCTATGATAGTATTATGTGTTAAGTATATTTTGGTATAGTATGTTCAAACACTTGAATATCTGAATATTGAGTACTGTAATGTTTGGGCATATTAAACCATGGTATATGCGTAATTGTACGTATTCGATAATTCCCATACAGTTGAACGTATCGCGGAATTGGTCGAGTTTCTTGATAATGATTTTTCGAAAGAAATTCGATATGCAACCGAGTCACCAGTTCGTGGACTTGGAACGTGCGTCTCTTTTATTATGTAAACACGTCCGTGGTTATCGCCGCGGGTCAAGCAATACTCTTCCGCTTTGGGGAATTATGAGGAACTCGATCAAGCCCTTTGTTTAAACGAAATGAACGTGCCGATCGTTTATTGAATAAGTAATTTCACTCGGAAAAACCGTTCTTACACAACACTTTAACCCCCTTGGATGACGGAAGTTCCTGAAGATCGACGATGTCTGGGTCCACTTGGACCCCCACTCGTTACTTTCAAGCAAGAATTGCCAGAATTTCCTGATGTAGGCACAAAGTAATGTCACACAGAGCTATGAACACGTCCTCACACCATGCTAATACTATTACAAATGAAAGCGTGACGTCGCATCCCTAGTATATATATAACCCCCCCCCCTTCTAGCAACGTCGTTTGAAGGTGTTCTTTTTTCAAAACATGATTCTGCAAAATACTCTGGTCTACGTATTGTGTACCAATACAGTAGAGCCTCCCGTATCCGAACTAACAAAGAGACGTAAGTGTTCGGATAAAGGAACGTTCGGATACGGGAGGTTCTATTGTATAAACAGCTCTACGCTTCAGGTTAGTTCCCTAAAGACATTGGAAACTTCGTGAAATTTTCGGTCAAAATGGATCCAGACAGAGGATAATTATAATAGTAATGTCGAAAAGACAATGTAGTATGGTTAATATTAGAAATATTGAGTGTAAGTATAGGAAGTCAGCGAACGCTCTTGTGCCAGGCTGGGAAGGAAGTATCAAACTAGATAACCGCAGCGAGGCTCATTGCTTCCGTTTGGCGTGTGTGGATACCGCGCGTGTTACATTCGCTCCGTCCGTTGCTGCGAGTATTCGCGAATTGGCTATCCTTTCACATAAGCTCTACTGTTTCCCCATTAATAATGTCTTTCCACGACCAAATGGGCGGTCATGTTCCCCTTTATTTGCCTTTTCAACGGGGTTAATTGGCCGGTTATGTTGCAGGTGGTTGTTGAGAAGAGATTGCTGAGAAACGATGAGGATTTACTGGGGGGAACTTCTGGAGAATAAATAAAATACAAGACACTTTTCGCATAGAACAATATAAACTAATCAGACTCTGCAATAGATTTGCAAAAGGGTGAATTTGATTTGCAAAAAGTTGACCTTGGAGTGCAGATATTGTAGTATAAAGTATTATGGACTTCAGTACGGTCTTTATTTGACTTGGGACCCGATAGAATCTTTCATAGAGTAGTCAAATGTCTGTTTGGTTCTGACTCTTAATGGTTGACGTTTGTATAAACATCCGCAGTCTAATCGTGGCATACTTTCGATAACAGAAACGTCAACGGTCAGCGGGTTAATTATTTAGCCGATTAAAATTAAACAGTAATCTGTTGATCAGTTTGACTTCCGAGAAGTTCAGTTAAGGGGTCCATAAAAAAACAAGTTCCACAAACTACGCTTCAAAGCTTATTGCTTTCCAATGAAAGAAAAGAAAACCATATGTGTATATAGGTTATATAGGTAATTTATTTTCAACCTCTCCGGCCTTGAAAAGGAACTTTGTTATCACTCCCATCCACACACTTTTATTTTACATATTTTATTTAACCTTCTCTTATGAATATTACACCCCTAACCTTATTGCCTCCTTTTCCCTAATATTCCTGTCTATTCCTCTCAACCATCCTGTTATCCTCCCATTTGTTGTCCCTTCTAATACTAAAAGAAAACTGTATACATAAATACAATGTTAAAACATTTCTGTTTCCCATTTGTCACACCATACTGCGCAGTATCAACAGAGAGAAAAACTACGAAATTCGTTGGAGGTCGAAAAAAATGTTCGAAGAGCAGGGTGGTCGGCCGGCCGAGTTCCACCGACGACTGTCGAGAGGGCACGAGCGTCGCTGATTGTCGCGTGGCCGGTGGCTAGTAGGGGGAGCGACGACGCGGCGCGGCAGTTCAGTTTGAATCCAGCATTTCACGGGAGTGAACGTTCCCCGGGATACCTCGTTCACGAATTCATCGATAATGACACGCCGGTGTCCGAGACAGTGCAGGTGAAAAACCGACGGGTGCACTTTTCATCGACGAGACAGTGGTGTGTAAACCGGAAGTGAGCTGTCACGTTGGAACTCGTCTGCCGAACGGTCTTCGAAGCGGAGCTTTCGACGAGCCAAGGTCAGAGATTTACCTTCCTTCTTTGAACTAGCTCAAAACAATGAGAACATTTTATCAAAATTTAATTTTTAACGTAAAATTAATTTAACACAAACAGTATTAATTTCTACGTTGAGTCGTTGTTGGTGGTTTGTCGTGGACGATTGTTTTTTCGTTGTTTTGAGCTACTCGAGACCGGGGACAATCGCGTGCTGGTCTTTAACGCGTTGACTGAGTAATGTTACACTGGTAGGATGATAAGGTTGTGTTGCGTTGAGTGTGAGAATGTGATTATTGTCGAGTTCCGGATTGTTATGCATTTCTGTGCGTGGGCTTGCTTTGTGTTGTTGTAGAGGGTACTTGACGAATGATTGTAAACGATATTGTGTGATATATTTGTTGTAAAATATTTAGCGATCACCACTTAGGGTGGTCTTAACGTTCTTAGATGGAAATTAGAAGGACATGATGAATCGACATAATTGTTTACGATGCAGATTTATTTGCTAGATTTTAAAACTTTAAATTTTCCACAGATTGATCATTGTGTTAGTTTCGCCAGGAACTTGCAATCTGGCATCAAAAACAAACGTCGGTTGACGGTTTAACGACTCTGCGAGTCTCTCTCTGGTCACTAGACAATTTAACAAATTACAGGAAGCTTCTTTATTGCCGCGGGGGACTCTCTAGTATTCATCTAACTGCAAAGCTCTGCGAGTTTTTGTTTCGTTTGTTATTGTTAAACTTGTTCATGTTTGCGCAAACATAGGGACCTCTTTATCTGGATTGTATTGGGGACAAATTAACCATGTTCGAAATTTTTGAGGATATATCGCTTCACTAGGATGGAAATTAACGTGCATAAAAAGTGATAGTAGAAAAGTTCAAAGAATTCAAAGTGAAAGTTACTGCCAGGCTAATAGTATACGAGTCTAATGTAGAAGGAAAAGTATTGTTCTGCAAAACAATGTGGTCAGTATTGGTCAGAATTTATTTATAAAATACTGAGTTACTATTTTGTTAATTATGAGCACTGAATAGTTTGTCAAGGCATTCACATTCCAAAAAAAAAAAAACGATTTCTTTCACTTTCTCCAAAATAGATTCCTGATCAACGAAGACGTCACAGAAACTGCATAATGCGGATATAAAATACCTTGACATCCTGTTCGGGAGATCCTTTATGGGAACTCCAATATCCGCATAAATATCTGCCAGTGTATTACTCACCGGCAGACTCGATATTTAAACCTAAAGTCTTCTGAGCGAAAAAATTGTAAACCGTCTTCACCGTATAATAATTTAATGACTGTTTTTTTTTTAACCGGTTTAATGAGGTTTGTAGTTAGTATCAATCGTACACTACCTGAACAGTGGATATGTTTGGGTTGGTTTAATAAAGTTTGAGGTTTGTAACTGAATAATGATTTTTTTTTCGACTAGTTTGATGAGGTTGGAAGTCTGAGGTTTGTGTCCATCGTACAATAATTCAACAGTGAGTATGTTTGGGTTGGTTTGATAAGGTTTGAAGTTTTTGTATATTATATGTATGTATATTATATGTACCATATAGTAATGTATCAGTGGCTTATTTCTGCGGTTGGTTTGATGAGGTTTGAATTGACTCGTCCAACTGCGCGCGGTCGCCTTTTGTCCGAGCAGTGGTTGGATCGAAGAAGCGAGCCACTCGGTTAATACGTCGAAAGTATCATCGTTGTCATTACCTTTAATGCGGCCGATTGTTCTTGTTATACCGCGACGGTGTGCCCGTTGAATGTGCGCCGCGGCGGCCGGTCAATCAACCGCCGGTGTTTGTACCCCCATCGGACATCCCGTAACAAACTGTTGACCTCGGCGCAGAGGGGAATTACGGAGAATCGTCGTTGGTTCACGACGGATCATCATCGAAGGGGGACGGTTCGCTCTCTATTTTTAACGTTTACCGAACGTCGTGGAACGTTTCCACTTATCGGCTCGTTGTACCCTAGATCACCGCCATCTTTTTTGTACTCTAATTGTGAATGTTTTTAGTATATCGCTAACAAGGGAACTTTGGTACTCTGGAGGTTCCGATTTTTCTTAAACATCGGAGGTATGTAGGGGTCATTAATAGAAAGATGGACAGTTTTTTGTTTTCGATGATTTTCGGTTCTTTGGGGTGAAAACACTCCTTGAAGGTTAATGCGTCCTTTCCTAGTCTTTTGTATATCTTGAAAACTAGTAGATATTCAAAAATTGTTGATACGAAAATTTAGTGGATTCTTAGGCTTTATGCAAGTGTACAACAAAATTGGTAAATATTTGCTTTCTAAATAAATAAATAAATAAATATACAAAAGATTTGTCAACAATTTTATTACACAGTTTTATAGACCATAAGAAGTCATTAAAGTTTCATTGCAACTTTTTTTATATATCTACTATAGTTTTCAAGATATATGTATAGAGAAATAGGAAAGGACATATTAACCTTTAGGGGGGGGGGTTTCACCCTGAATTTAAAAAAAATTTGAAATTTTGTAGTAGCGAAGTTTGTCGAACGGAATTGTGATTTAGTGAATCTCGACTGCAAGTAGCACCGTTTAATACAGCGATCAATCGGAATCAACGAACAGTGCTTTCACAACAAATCGTCGATAATCGTGAACCGTAAAACCGTCCCGGCGGCCGTTACACATTCGCGTTAAACGACGCATAAATTTTCGTCCAACGCTCTCGTAAATCTCGCGGAACGACTCGGAATTGTTAGAAAGTCCTCGAACGTTATCGGGAATATTGTTGGAAATTTGACTTCGCTGCAGGTTTGTCCACAAATTGTCGTTTATTTTTCGTTTTTCGAACCGGAAGCGATATATCGGAGCTGTTGCTGTATCCCGAGACAGAATAATATCGCTACAGAGAAAGAAAAAGACGGCGCCTCGCTAGGGTATTAATATCTTTTTTTTTAGTAGTTGTAGTAATAATGTTTCTTTAATAGGGGAAGGCTTCGGAGGATGAAGGTTATGTTACAGATATTAAGTCTGTAGTAAATTGATGTTAAAAAAGTTAGTAGCAACATACGTCCTTCATGCTCGTTAAGATAAAGAAGGTGAATAGGGTGAGATAAGGTGAAGTATGGTACTATGTGAAAGAATACGATGTACCAAGAAAATGTAAGTTTTCAGAAAACTGTTACATAACCTCTCTTTATCTTCTGAAGCCTTCAGTTCATACTGGAATTTTGAACCAATTTGTCCACCAATAAATAGACTGCAAATTTTCTGTATTTATCTTGTAAGAAAAATTCTCTAAAGTTATTGAAATTTTTAATACAGTTCACCTAGATTTGTAGTTTCCATCAAACCTTATGGTAACCTTAAAATTTTGCATGTTTTGGGATTGAATTATTGCATATAAAAATTGCTCATGTATCTTTAGTTAAATGAGTTAGAGATGCTGGAAATACACTACAACTACAAAATTGATGGAGGATGTACATATTCAGATAAAAACGTAGCTAGCGGCAGCAAAATCGTAAAAAGACATAACGCGATGGAACTTTCTCCGAGAGGCTGATAAAAGTGGCCCGTTTGCGTGAAACGGGGAGGCAAGTGGGAATCGTGTAACGCGGTTTAAACCGATCGAATCGATTTACATAAACGTTGCTCGCACGCCCGGTTTGCATAATCGGGTTACGCTGAATCTGTAATAGTAATCGCACCCGGATATCCGGATATTCGCGACTTCGGGACCGTTTTCGGGACGTAGGAGAGCGTGACTTCAACGTTCTGTCCCGTGACTGGGTCACATATGTCGATCAATAAATCCTAATTAGGATCAGACCGATTAAAAGTCGTTCACAGTAGTTGTCGTTGCCATAGACTCTCAATCAATGTCATAATTAGTTTACTTTGTATAGTGTTATTTTAATAGTAATACAATCTTTATTTTAAAAAATTTTTAATGTTTCAAATTTCGGATCTTTCAAATTTTGGATGTTTCAAATTTTGTAATAATCAAATTTGTGACGTCTCAAAATTTTGATATATGAAAATTTTCGGTTTCTCAAATTGTTGCGTTATTAATATTGAATTCTCTGTCTCTGTGTTCTTTCACGTCATAGTCACCGTGTACCGTCTACTGAAGCTTAATTATTATTATTATTATTCATGTAACATGTGACATTTTATGCATTCTGTGGAGAATGTCCCACGTACGTATGTATAGTGAGGTCACGCGGACGACGGCACGCGCATAGAAAGGAACGAATCGCCGATTAATGGGTGACAATTTTATTCCCGTTTTACACCTTTGGTTACTTAAACGGTGGACACCTGGCTGGAACGGCGGCTGTCTGCCGTTTAATCAACGGTCAATTGACGCACGGTTTGTGTTTTGAGAAACAGCCACGCGACAGCCTTGTCCCGATTGTTCCACGGCTGACCCGTTGTCGATTTCGCAACCGGAGGATATCTAGGCAAAAAAAGGGCACGCGATTGTATAATTTTGCTGTGCTTATGCCTCGTAAATAGATTCTGTATCTGTCGCGAAGCTAGTGGTAGAACCAGATACTTAACTCTTTTTCTTCGTCAGTGATCCGTTGATCGGCCTAAACAACGTGAAAAATAACAACCACCTTAAAATGATTTCTTTACACTTTTTATTCTTCAGGCCTAGCAATCTATAGATGGATCAGTGATCTATGGATCAGTGATATATGGATCAATGATCTATGGATCAATGATCTATAGTCACTTTAAATTAAATTTTCACGTTTTTTATTCTTCAGGACTAGTAATCCATCGATGGTTCAATGATCTATCAATGGATCAGTGGTCTATCGATGTATCAGATACACTTTCAGCCGTAGATCCTTGAACGGTTCGTGTCAGTAAAGACTATGGATCGTTTTCTAAATAATTGCTGGTAGTGAGAGTTTATTTATTAATAATGACAATGCCAATTTAATGTTAAGATGTATAAAGTACATCGAGGGAATTTTAATGGAAGGGAATTAGCGAAACGACATTTCATGGAAGCTT